CTGAATACCAGAGCTGAACTCGGCTCAACGCAACTCACAGCACTTCCACATAAAACTCTACCTCTAGGTGCATCAATCTTTCATCATTTCAACATTATCATTTATGGGGGCCAGCAGGGCTGCCCCAAGGCACTTTGCTGCTGAAGGCCCTTCTGCGGACGGAAACCACCTGGGCTGGCAGGTGAATCTTACTGCAACACTGGAAGGGAACATCTGCCTCCACTGCATCAGAAGGCATCAGGCCAGCTCAGGGGTGCAGGGCAAGCCATGCGGGTTACACTTCTTCCCTCTGGCACTTTCTTGCTATCTCTGAGCTTCCTGGAGGAAATGCCTCACTCTGCTTAATGATAGGGGTGGTCCTGGTAGCAAGCCGTCCTTTGGTTGCTGCTTTAGTTAGCCAACCAGGAGGCAGCATCCTTGCCAGTCTACTACAAGTCAGCCACAAGCTCCAGCTCCAGCCTTGGTACAGGGCGTGAAAGAGTCTAGACAGACCTTGGTTCAAATTCCCGTCTAGACATAATGCTCACTGTGTCTCAGGCCAACCGATCTCACAGGCTGTTGCAAGGATAAAATGAGAGAGCCATTTATGCCACCCTGAGCTTGCTGGAGTAATAGAGCAGTAGCAGTGATGATGAAGTTCCTTTTATCGATGAAAAATGTAACATTTCCCACTTTAAAAGCAGCAATCATTCTTACGTTATACCTTCAGAATTCTGCATTTAACTTTTAAAGCCCTAAATGACTTAGGACATGCCTTCTCTCATGAGTCTGCCTGTGCAGGATGAATCCAAAAGATTCTGCTGTCTGGGTGTCTGGCGCTGCTCCCCAGGGCCGGTCACACTATTGTGGCATTTGAGACAGAAGTCCTCTCCTTGGCATGAAACATAGAGGTTCCCCCTCTCCTGCTCTGATGCCATGTGTGTGGGCTTCTCAGTATGGAAAAGCACCTTATAAATAGAAATACAGGCAATTTATTTGTCCTCTTTCCATTTTAACTTGCTCTCATCATGCAAAAGGAGTTAAACAACTCCCTCTTTAATTTAATATCAACACGGTGCAGTTCCTGAGCATGAATAAAATGTGCCAATTTGCTTGCTAGATTATTTGATTGATGAGTTTTGTTTCTTCTATGAATAGCCTCTGCTGATTGTCCATGTCTACCACATCTAGTTCATCAGGATATTCCATGGCATTTTTCTCTTCCCTGAGTTTTCCAAGCTTTCCCTTCGACAGACAAGGGCATTCCATGGCCACAGAGTATGCTCAGCGGACATTAGGCTGTTTTGCAGGATGGGGGCTTCTTGTCCTCCTCTCTGAAGAATGGGTTATATCTAATATTAGTCCTATTTGTAATAGACCTATTGAAATGAATGTAACTTAGTTGGATACAGCTCTGTCTACTTCTGCAAACCTTGCAGTTCCCCTGAGCATGCCAATATTCCCTCTTGTTTTTATTTCCTTTTGTTTTTGTTTCTCCCTTTTTCCATTTTCTTTTTTAACTATACTTCTGGAATCACTCAGCCAGCACCGTTCGCTAATAGAGAGAGTGTGTATTATCTTTCACAGTGCAATGATAAAAAGAACTGTCTGTTATCCTTTGCTGATGTTCCTTGAACTGACGTGCGGGCCTGCCTTGGAGTGCTACGTGCAACCAGTATTGTGGCCTGTGAGCTGAGCCAGAGAAAGCATTCTTGCAGTCGTTTTAGTTCCTGTTAGACAAAGTGGGTGCTCGCTCTCTGTTTTACTTAAACAGTTCGTATGCTATATCTAATTCCAGAAAAGAGGGTAGCATTTTTGTGGCTAGTTCAGAAATGTAAACAGCTTACAGTTTAGTGTGTCTTCATTTCCCATGATGCTAAAAATCTAACATCAGCATGATAAAGTCTCTTTCGTTCCCCCCCCCCCCGCCGCCCTCGCATGCACAAACATTTAATCCCCACCCATCTCTCAGCTAGGTATGTCTGGGTTTTGTCAAATCTGTTCTGTCTGTGACTCATGGATCATCAGGCATTTAGCATTCTGCCATCCATTCATTGTTGGCATCTGATCTTTGCACTAATTCACTTTAGCACTAATGTGTACTTGCTCAATTGTACTAATGAAGATTACTTATTACACTTTAGTGCTGATGCAAATTAGTCCAAATCTCTGCAAAGTGAAAATCTTATCTGTAAGTCTGTGAAATCTTCACACAAGTCAGCAAAAGATGGCCCACTGCAGAATCTGCTGGCCAGATTCACCAAAATCTAAACTCCATTGGATCTGTTATGGATTTTTCCATCATCCCTAACTCAGCTCTAAAGAATTCCAAGAATACAAACCATTAGACACATAAAATAAGATGCTTCATGTCTAATGGAAATAAGGGCTGCATTTTGTGGTGCTGTGACTGATTTAAACAGAAATGAATAATTTTTAGTACATTTTACTAAAATGTATCAAGTTATTTTAAGTGAGAGGACATGAAACTGAATTGATGAAGAAATTACAAAAATGGGCACTGTGGAAGGAAGATGTATCCACTTTGTGCAAAAAGAAGTAGTTAAATGTTACTGGCCTAGGCAACTCATAAAAATACTGCGCTAATTCCTTTAGGGCCTATAATTCCATTATATTGGTTTAAATCTGAGGAAATGGAAACTAGAGATAAAAAATGCCAACATGAAGCTAAATATATGAATGAAAGTGGGACCTTGAAATGCAGTGCTGCAGCATATCTTCACTTCCTAACACCGGTTTTCATGTTTATAGAGTTGGTCAACCAGCCATGCTCTACTCCAGGATACTCCATTCCTGCTGTATTTTGCTTTTCCTTCTCCAACTAAGATTCGGCTTTCTGGGTCTACCCAGCTGTGCTTACACTTGGCTGTTTCTGGGGAACAGAAGCTTCCATACTGGCCATTCTGAAGAGCATGAAGACCTCTCTGCCTCAGGTTTTAAGCAGCAGGAATGGCTACCTGTGGGTTGGGCCACAGTGTGCCATGATGTTGAGGGCCTGGGCTACCTGCACGGCCACTCACTACCTGAGTCCGGCCACTTCTCATAATGCACAAACAGGGCTTCTTTGTGTGGTAATAACTTCTGCTACAGAGGGTGAGGTGGGCAATGAGGGAAGCCATGTAGGTGAATGGAATTCTGGTAGGGGCTGGAACTCTTACTTTTTCCTAGTCAAATTTCTTAGGCATTTAGTTAGTTACAAGTAAACTTCCTTCATTCCAGCAGATCTTAGAAATGTGTGCTAAAGTATAACTGTGCCTGGGTGCTCACTACTGAGATTTTGGAAGCATGTGCCAAGGCACCTTTTCTTACATAATAAAAGACACTGACGGACGAAATGCTGCCTGGAACATGCAGGGGGTGTAGGGCTTCTTGCTGTTCAAATATGCATTGGATTGCAAAAATCAAGGGAACACTATTAATGCCAAAGGAAGTCTGTCAACATTGGTGCTAGTAGCTGTTGAATTTTATGAGATATTTACTGCATGTCTGCACTGCCCAGTAGCCAAGACTGTCTGGGCGATTCACAACACAGCTCAATTGATCAATCCATTCATTCAGTGCAAAGGTCTAGACAGGCAGATCGAGCGATCAAAAGATAATAGAGCTGTACAGCTTGATTTTAATTAGCGCTATCCCTGGTGAAAATGTAGGCACTTAAAAATGTAAGAAGAGCCCTGCTGGATCAGACCAAAGGTCCATCCAGCCCAGCACTCTGATCACACGCCAGCCGCCCAAGGATCCCTCAAGCAGGATGGGTACAAGATCTGTGCCTGCCCAAGCTCCTCAGCGACTGGTGTAAGCAGGCACAGCGCCTCTGAGAATGCAGTTAAGCACATTGCCAACAAGTCCAGTTGTCCTTGATCGCCTTCTCTTCCATGAATTTGCCCAATCCCCTTTTGAAGCCCTCCAAAATGGTAGCCGTCCTTCTTCCCTGTGGCAGTGAATTCCATAGTTCATTTGTGCAATGTGGAAAAGGACTTTCTTTTATCTGACCCAAATCTTCCACTAATCAGCTCCATGGAATAATCCTGGGTTCTAGTATTATGGGAAATGAAGAAAAATGTCTCCCTCTCCACTTTCTTCACACCATGAATAATTTTAAACACTTCTATGAAGCCTCTGTTTACTAACACTTTTTCTAAGCTAAACAATCCCAGTTGTTCCAGCCCCTTCATCATTTTAGTTTTCCTTCTTCACCGTTTTTCCAATTCAAAAATACACTGTTTCAAGTGTAGTTGCACCAAAGATTTGTATGAGAGGAATACGAACTTGGCAGTTTTATTTTCAGTTCCTTTCCTAATTATGTCGAAATAATGTTTAGTGCCAAGAGCATTTCAGTAAATGTTTATGCACATTTCTTGATTCCAGCAATTTGAATAAAACAGGTGTTCACGTGTTTTTCAGAATACATTATTTTTTATATACCAAGCTGAGGAAACTGTTATGAGTCTTCACATAATATAAACATACTAATTATTTTAAAACTTACAAATGTGAACTAGTATACATGCATGGTAAAAAGTTGAAAGTACCTTGGTATTTTTAACCATAATTTAAATCTAATGTTTAATTAAAATAAGTCTATTAAAAGTAATATTGGTAGTAACTGAAACATTCACCACAGATTGGCACAAATATATTGTGTCAAAAATCAATGACACAAAAAATCAACAAATGATATTTAGTTCTTAAACTTTAAACTCTTCATCATATTCAGGATGAATTCAGAGTCATTTTATTCTGTTCAGACCACTAAAAAAACTTTCTAGAGAAGGCAAGAGTTTCATGCATATTCTCTTCATTCCTGAGAATAAATTTGTGCCTTTATTCATTTATTTTCAACTGCTGAACAGGCTTTTTTAAGTATGTCTTTTCTGTGGCTGCAAGCAAAGTGATATTTCTATTGTGCTTTTAACAAGGGCATATTGTTAGAAAAAAATTTGCTGAAGATCTCTTTACAGAAATCCCAGCTATATCCCCAGATTAGAAATCAATCTTACCTCAAAACAATGCATGAACCAAGACAATATGTAGCTCTAGCACCGATCCATTAGGAAAATAAAATCCCAGACTTGACATCAGTGTGTTCAAGTTACTGCAACTGTGTCCATCCAAGTCTGAGCTTCCTTCAAAGCCCGATGTAAAATCTTAACCAACATGATGACGTAAGTTTTAAATATTCAGGCAGTCAAGATAAGTAGATGATAAATCTTCCAAGCCACAGGCTTATGGGGCAGAGAAAGACAAATGGCTTTTTGCCAAATGACTATGAAGAACATGTAAAGAAGTGATCCAGATAAAGACAAGTAATTATGACTTAATTTGTAATTTACACACATTTCATATGTAATCATTGTATTGTGCCAGTTGATAATGAACAGAGAATATTTTGGATAATGTCTTGGACATCTAGTATTCAATCATGATTTGGTTATATTAACATGTAAACTATTTTTAAATGCTATTTGGAACTGTCAAACAGCTGAAATTTCCCTGGTTAAAACAGAATCATCCCTCAAACCTGCAGAACCAGCAGAAGACGGGTGGTTTGTGCCAGGAAGAGCAGTAGATGTGTTTCAAGTGCAGTAATAGCATTATCAAGCCTTCCATGCAACTTTTAATTTGTCATGTCCATAATATTTATTGTTTCTCTTTCAGCTTATGCCTATTGCTTAAAAAACATTGAGTTGGTACCTCATTTGATTTGTTTGCTATAATGTTACTCATTGCAATCCCTCATGCATTGTTTTGTTGACACATCAGCTTGTGTTGCCTAGTAGGTTAAAAGCATAGACAAGCTTTTATATATTACATGCTCCTACTTATGTTTACAAGAAACCCAAACAAACTGTTATGATTGAATTCTAAGCAAGCCGTTAACCAGCTTTACATTGCCATTAGAATTTATTCTGAGGTCAAAAACCTGTCCAAGCTAGCAATACTTAATGCATCCCTGAGCTCTCCAGGACTACAGCTCCCAAGATTCCTAGGCAGCATGCTGGCTGGGGCTGATAGGAGTTGGAGTCCAGCATCATCTGCAAGGGAATGGGTTCTCCAGCCCTGAGGTCTCCTAAGAACCACACTGAAAACCCTTTTAAAATAGCAGAAACACCCTGAACAGGTGTGCCTTGTTTATCTTGCCAACACCAGGAGGTTGTTAGGAAGTACTATTGACAAAAAGAAGGTAATTTATTCTTGCCAGGAAAGGACAATAGTAAATTATCCTCACCTTCTTGAATCATTATGACTCTATATGGAACTTCTTTCTGGAAGTGGACTAATCTGAGATTATAGATGGCATCTGATGTTGATATTTTCATTTGATCTGTAAACTGTTTAGAGTAAATATTCCTCAAAGAAATCTGGTTTTCTCTGCTCAGCATAGGTAGCGTGTTTTATTTATTTACTTATTTTTGCATACACATTCCATTCTTGGTGAAATTAAGTTGCAAATAACTGGAATTAACAGAATCTCAAAGGGTGGCTTAACAGCATCACCTCTCCATGCCAAATTCAGGAGCCCACTACATTCTGGACTTTACATGTGACAGTGGATGATGGGAAGGCCTATCATGTGACTGCTGACTAGAAGGACACGTGGTTTTCAGTCCAGCTTCGGAGAGATGGAATCTATAACTGAGCCCCTTCCATGTACCAGGGAGGGCTGCCGTGGCATTCATGCAAAATGCTTTTAGCTCTGCTGGGAGCCATGCTAATGAATACAGGAGAGGTTTCCACTGTGTTGGAAGTGTGATCTTGTGTCATCCAAACTTGCAACAGAGGGAGAAGCAGGAAGAGTTGAAAGGGGATGTGTGTGGGGAAGGAACAAGTGAGCAGATACTTTCTAAGGGGGAAATGAACAACTCCTCCTGCCTTCTCACCAAAACTCATGGAGAAGAAGATGGGGAAGGGGAGTGTGGGGGAGAGGCTGTGGCACTGCTTGCTACTGCTTTCCGACCAGAAGGCTCATTGCTCATTGCTCTTTCCCTGCTACCTAAAAGTCATCCCTGAAGGCAAGTTCAATCACTCTCCCTTCACAACAGCAAGTGCCATACTGAAAACAGTGCGATTCACTTCTTAGCAGACATGTTGGTCATTGCATTACATTTACTCGTCGGGCCCCTGGCTAGTCAGAGATGGGGGTGCTGTGGGAAGGCTAAGGGAGGTGGGAAAGCGACACGAGTTGAAGCCTGATAGAACACTTTGTCTTAGAGTGCCACGCTTCACGCACTGAAGCTATTCCTCTCCGCACCCCAGAACAGTACTCCACGTTTAGCATTCACTGGAACATTTCTTCACAGGTAGGAGAGGCATTTGGTGTGTGTGATTTTGGTCAGAAAAGAAGCCCACCCCCCACATCCCCTCCTTTCCTTGATGAATACTTGCATGGAGAACATGTTACAAACTTGCATCGGTTACCCAATATGGCACTAACATTTCAAATACTCAAATATGACTATCTTCCAGTCTCCCTTTGTAAAATATGCCTTTAAGTTGCTTGAAGAGGCAACATTTAGTATCTTATTTCTTCCCTGAACCTTTGTTCAGCATTTGTTCTCCCAATTAAGAAAAGCAAGAGGTATCCTTACACAGCACTAGTAACCATCTTAACCATCTAATCTATTCCAAAGTGGCTCAAAACCTGTCTGCCTTTATCAAGACCCTGTTGCCACTGTGAGGTGTAGCACCTGCTTAATACTTGGTGGATTTTCACTGGGGCCACTTCTCTCCCGGAATGACTTTTGTGCAGTAAAGAGTATGCTCTACCCTTTGACAAACTGAACAAGTTGACAGGCTGAGCCAGTGTGACGAAGTGGTTAAGAGCACGGGACTGGGACTCAGAGGATCTGGGTTTGAGTCTGTGCTCAGCCATGGAGCCAACTGGGTGACTTTGGGCCAGTCACAGACTCTCAGCCCAACCTACCTCACAGGGTTGTTGTTGTGGGGATAAGGTGGAGGAGGAGAATGATGTAAGCTGCCTTGAGCCCTTTGTAGGAAAAAGGCAGGATATAAATTGAAAAAAAAATAAATCAAGAACAACAAAATGTTTTATTCTTTGGTATAAGCTTTAGAAGAATTGAGTTCTTTGTAATGTGACAGCCAATGCCGTGTGTGTTGTGACCATCGTTCCACACGGTCGAATCACAGTCAGTCAAAGGCAACTATGAAACTCATTAGTTACAGCCCAGTGATAACAATAGCCAAAAAAGTCAGGAATAGCATCTCATAGTGTGTGGTAATGGAAACTGCAAGCTGACATGCGTCAAACAGCTCAGAGACTCCTGCTGTGGAAGTACGGATGCGGAGGATCCATCTCATACCACCTCCCAAAAAGTGTCACCGTTAGGAGTGGCTGTGAGGTACCATTCTTGCTAATCAGCTGGCCGTCACTTAAGACCTAGTTAGGAGAGACAGACAAGGAGGTCTCTGTACAGCACTTCATATTGCATGAGATAGAAAAAATATGTATCTGTTGACTTAAGAATTTCTGTTATGCAATATATTATGTAATTTATATATAAATATAAAGCACTTTTGGATGGCAAGCTCCACATGGTTCTATATGGATGTAGGTCCCAAATGGAGATCGCCCAGAGTCGGGCCTCCATGTTTGTGGAAACTCCTGCCTCTGGACATCAGGCAGATGTCAACATTGTCTTGTTTTCAGTTTTATTGATGCTGTCTTTAACATAGGTTTATTCTTTTGCCTGTATATCTTTTATTGTTCACTACTCTAAAATTTCCATTTCAAAATACAGAGTGGTATTTAAATCTTTTAAATTAAAAAATGAAAGTGAGTTTAAGAGGGGCTATTCACTGGAATGCAGTGAGCTCAGCATCCCTCAGGGTCTAAGGCTGATGGGAGTTACAGTCCAGGGACAGGCAACATACCATGTTTTTGCTGTTCTATGTGGCCTCCATTGTGTGGCACTGACAAAATGGCACTTTGCCACCAGAATTTGCTAGCCGAACAAATCTAAATAGACCTGGGGGTGGGGTGCTTCTGTCATGCTGGCAAATTTCAGTGAAAAAGCAGCAATACTTTTCTGCCCCTGCCACTGTGCTACCGAATTTCAGCAGCAAGGGGCAGGGTGTGGGTTACAGGAGTAAAACTGCCTTCCGCTGTTATAGACTTACAACCGTGTTCTCAAGCTCTGGTAGAGATGACCAGTCCAGATGGACAAATGGCCTGAGAAGGCAGCTCCCTGTGTTTCTGTGGGCATGAAAGCAAACCATGGGATAAGACTTGTCCAACCCAGAGCCCATAGGTGACGATGGAGGAATCCTGCCACCTCTCAAAGAGCAGATTTGAGCATTGTTGTTCTCAACTCCACTCTCTCCTTTTGTGAAATTCTGCCTCCCTGTGAAGAGATTTTTTCCTGCGTTTTTCAAAGGGAAAGGGAGAATTTGGAAGAAACTTCTCATTGAGAAGGAGGGGCAAAGGTTCTGTTTACGTCATACATGCAAGGGGTGGGCAAGTGTCTTCTCTGAACTGCCCGGAGCCCCACATGTGAGGCCGCGGCAGTGTGAGCTCTCAGAACAGAGTTTTTCCAGCCCTGCAGTGCTCCCTGGAGTGCTGCGGGGACCACTTGGCATTGCAGGGGAGGGCTTTTAAGGGGCTGTCTAGGTTTCGAGAAAAGGCTTACAACCACAGCTACACTGGCTGGGCATGCTGGGAGGGGTACATTTTTCCTGCTTCCAGACTTACATAGAAGTGTACCCTGCAGAGCTTTAGGAAGCTCTTTATTTCCTTTCCTTTCAGCTTTTCGTTCGTAAGGTCTGCAAGCCCCACTCTTGTTTGCAAGCAGCATGGGGCTTTATGAGCCGAGGCTGTTGGGCCAGAAGCAACTCCTGAATGCTCCTCAGGCCACCAGATGCCACGCGCTCTCTTGGGCATTCCAGAGAGCTTCAGCCATCGGGCAGCATCAAAATAAATAAATAAATCCATGCCACCTGTGTTTCGCAGTCCGTCAAGTGTCTTTTGTTTTGTTGCCTTCTTATTCATGGAATCAGATTTTTAAAGTCGGCAATTCATTCTACTTGTCTAATGCACATTAGTGTTAATGTGTACACACATTACTGCGTATTAGTTATTACAGATGCGTGCTAAGGTAGATTAGCACAAAACACCCTGCCTTACAAAGGGAAAAACGGGTCTGCAAGTCTGCAGAATCCAGGTAACTCAGAAACCGCTGCACAATTCACAGGTGCTATTCACAGAAATCCAGTCTCATTTGAACCTGTTGAAGATTTGTCCAGCATCCTTAGAAACACCACCTTACCTGATACTCTTCGGGGGCCAGCTGAATTCCACTGAGCAAGACTTCTGGGAAAACATAGTTAGTGCTAAATGTGCCACTGAGAGAAAAGTAATCAAAACGGGTTTGAGCAGTGGTCACTGGCTGGCCACAGCTTTGGAGGTCTGTACTTCCACATTTCAGCAAGGTGCATATCTAGAAGGAAGCAAAGCAATGCCTTGAAGAAAAAGAAAGCACTCATGCAAAAGGATTTCTACTGTTACCAGAATATTGACTATCATCTCATCATCACAGTTTGTTCAAGAGGAATTTAAAACACAAGCAAATGTAGCTGTTTGTAGCAGAAGAATCACCAGGTCAGTTACTTTTTCTAAAAAGCCATGCTTGTTACCTCCCCAACTCAGTTTGCTCAAGATGCTGCTTTAATTGTATTAGCTGCAAAAAATCAAAATCAAAATCAAAGTAATCAAAAACAAAATAAAGAATAAACATAATAAAAATATAGGGGTGTTGAACCTTTTTAAGCCTGAGGGCCAAACTCTCTTCTGAAGAAGCTCTCAGGTGTCGTGTTCCAAAGCTGGGTAGGTACCAAAACAAAACACTGGCATGTTTTGCGTGAAAGCTCTTACAGCTTTCAAAGTCACTGGTGCTTTGAAGAGGCATTTCTGTCTTTTAGAACAGGGAAGCATGCAGAAAAGTCTGGAAACAGCCAAACAATCAATGGCTGTGGGGGTGAGGACCTTCTGGAGAGCCCCAAAAGGCCAAACTGGTGCCAAGGTAGGCTGGTTTTGATTGCCAGACCAGAGGTTCTATACTGCTGCTCTGCCTAATTCTATACATTTGGGGTCCTCCAAAGAGTATATACACAGCCCAGCCTTTTCTGCACTTATGACTGCTGAGAAAATGCCAGGGGCAATTGTGAAATGGCAGAACCTCCAACCCCACCCCCCACCACCTCCAAGTGCACAGAACTGCTGACTCAAACTAGCAGTACTTCCACCTGTAACCAGGAGGAGGAGGAAGAGGAGATCTGAGCTGCAAATTAAGGTATTCCTACTCTCCTACAGAAAACAGCATGGTGACCACCAAAAGAATGGACCAGAACTATCCTCATTAATTATTTGGCTTCTGAATAATAAAGTACCAAACAAAACATCTTTCTTAATTTTATGGCACTGAATATCAACTTTCAGTGGGACCAGAAAGTCATGTTTGGCCTGCAATCCTATGCCCATTTACTTGGAAGCAAGTTTCACTGAATTCAGTGGTGCTTTTGTCCAAAGTAAAGTTGGTGTAGTCTACACAAATTTCAGTTGGAGGGTTCCATATAATTCCTGGGATTTATACATAGCTCTCCATGCATATAACCTTGTAGATGTGGAGTCTGAACCTTTTTCAGAGCAATGGCTGAATTCATTTCAGAGAAGTCCTCAAGGACTACATCCTGGTGGTGGGTTGTGCAGAAAGCAAAATGAGTGGCGCTAAACATACCTCAAATGCAAACATAAGTTATCTTGGAATTCTTACTACCAGTCACTAAGCCTTAGGAGAAGCTTTCCAACCTTTTTGCATGGGGGAAAGCCAGCATAAAAGCTAGGAAATGAAACAATCAGTGGTCAGGCCAGTGAAATTGGGCATGGCAGCTTGGATACCAAGAGGGCCAGTTACAGACCCAAAGAAGGCTAGTTGTAGTCACTGGGCCTGTGGTCATACACCCCTGCTGTAGACTTTCATTTATTAAGTTCATGATCCAAGCAAGAGAGAAGCACAAAGAAATCCCAGTAATTTATCTTATAGAATTATACTCAACTCTCCAATTGTATTAGTGGAAAATGGGACTAAAGATGCTTAACTTTAGTCAGATTGTGTCCTCTATTTCTATGATGACATCTTGGATTCATTTCTTCCCATATCCCACCCAATGAAAAAAGGAGGTATTCCATATCCCAGAAACAAGTTATGAGACCTGTAGGTAATATTCTCCTTCCACCACATGAAGACCATCAAAGGCACCTAGAACATAAACTTCATCTTCTCGATGTTCTGTCATCTTGTAGTTTAAATGGCAGCAGAGACCTTTCTGGCACACTGTAAGATGGTCAGCTTCTTTACTGAGCTCAGAGAAGGTGTATTCATCAAAGAAGATGACTCCAGTGAAACTGTGTTCTTTGTGGAAAGGCTCAATAGTTGTGGCATACGAGCTCCAATTAGTAGCAGGAAAGACGGTGCGAGGATGGGAGTCAAGTTCTGCAATCAGGAGATGTCCTTTCTCAGATTCTGTATCATAATGAAATGCTCTGGATCCATCTGGTGCATAGATGCCACTACCTTAGAATAGCAAAGATAAAAAACAGACCTTTCATATTGCCTGTGCTGCTCTATTGAGATGTGCAGAGTTATCTACATAATGTACCAGTAATACACATGTGAGCAGAAGCACACACGCAGAACACACACTGTGCAGTTAGAAAGCACAGCAATGCTCACAACTCAACCCCGCTTCCACTGAGTTGTGTTGTCTGCCACTTTGCTGAGTGGAAAGAGGACAAGAATGTGCTGCATTACTCGTTTTAGGAGGCAGATTTCTTGATGCAGGCCAAGTCCATGAAAAGAAGAAAATGCATCTGATTGGCCTCACTGACAACTAGTTCAAGCAGAACCTCCAAATATTACTACTTGCAGCTAAATGGAGGCTATATATTAATGGTATGTGGTGAAGGTTATTGCCCACCATAACATTGGTTCTTGAAACAATTTTTGATAAGTGCAATGTTTGTGCACTTTTAAATTATATTTCTGTGATGTGGAGATTGACATAGGAGCAGAAATAACAGACTTTTAGAAGTCTCACAATGGCAAATAGATTACTATATTCAAGCCTGGAAGCATTAATACCCACCACCTCTCACTCATTGGTTTGAAGATCTTGCGCCATTTGAACTTAGTTGATCTTTTCTGGGTGCTTTTTTAGATATATGATGTGCTTATTAATGTGTATGGTTGAATGGACATATCAGATATTTTGTTTGTTCCCCTTAAAACAAATGATGTTGTATGTAGTTATTGTTAGATAGCTACAAAATAGGTGTATCTAAAACTGTACATTACCAGTCATGTTCAAGCTACGACTATGAGTATTAGATGCCAGGAAGTTGATACGCATGCCCATAGCCCATGCGGAATGGAACTCAACAGCACTTAGATGGGGGAGAACGTTCATCCAAGCCGTGGGAAACAGTATGGTGTCCACTTTGGGGTCGCTTGCCAAGGCCACAGCAGGATCATGAAATAGTATATCGAAGCATGTGAAAGTGCCGAATTTCCCAAACGCAGTATCAAAGGTCACCAGCTCAGGTTCGTGAGGGGAATTATACTGTTCAAGTTCTACCATAAAGAGGTTGTACTGTGAAAAGGTTTGGGAGACAGTGAAGACATGTCAATAAAAAGGCAAGACCACCAGGGCTGCTTTACATGAGGCTTTCAATCTACTGCTTTAAACAAGTCTTCTGCTTCTAGATTCTTGGCAACATTAAGATAGGCTCCTTTATGCATGTCTCCCCACATTTGTCCGTCTGTTTTGCTTTGCTTTTCTATGCATTCCTTTATGTGACCACAAGGAGTGCTTGGTATAGGTGGACCTGCATAAACACCAAGACTTCTCATAGCACCATTTCAAAATGATTCCATACTCTGCACAACCTAAAAAAGCCACAGGAATGGTTGCAAAGCATGGGAACAACCCCAGAAAAATGAAGGCATCCTCTAAAGCACCTGCAAATGACACTGAGATGGTGCACAACGAATGTCTCATGTGGGAAAGAAACCTTTTAACACCTTCAGAACATTTTAACTTGTTTATACTGAAAACTAAATTAAAATTCCAATTTAAAACACACACATGACTTTAGTTTAAAATGAGGCACCTGAAGTGGATCTTTCGATTATGTTAATCAGAAAGATTCGCTTCAGAGTGTGCCACTCTTTTGGAGGTGGTGGTTGGATCTTATACAATTTGTGGTCTGCACATAATTATGACGTATACACTCCTGCTTCCTGCACATTTTGTAATCATCGTTACTGGGTAAAGTCATTTGCACCTAGTGCCATGATTAGATAGTTAGATACATAGTCTGGAAAATCAGAACCTGCCTCCTGTATCTGAGGAAGGACTTCAAAGCATGAAAATGATGGCCATTAAGGGCCATAGAGTCCCTGCTTTGCATGCAGAAGGCCCCAATCCCAGGCTCAATCCCAGCAGGTGCAGACAGGGCTGTAAACCCTGGAGAGCTTCTGCCAGTCAGTGTCAGCACAGCAGGCCTTGCTGGATGAAAACTCTGACTCAGTGTAAGGCCACTGATATGCTCGTGGGTAGCTTATGCCACAACATGGATTTACTGTTCTAGAGTTGCTGAATCCTGCTAATGCACTGCTGCTTCTCTGGTATGCTCAAGTTATAAGCATGTTTCAATGTATATTTCACTGAGAGCCAATGGGATGTAGTGGTTAGAGTATCGGACTGAGACTCAGTTCCAGTTCCTGTTTGGTCTTGAAAATCACTGGGCATCTTCAGGCCATCCACTGCCTACCAGCCTAACTCACTTCACAGGGTTCCTGTGAGGATAAAGTGGAGAACAAAAGTTGCCTTGAATTCCTCTCAAGAGGAGATATAAATGGGATATAAATGTCCTATAACAATAAGAATAACAAATATTAATCCTGGCATTTTCAAAGTCAAATTAACCCAACATTGAAGGTACTTGGAGAAGGGAAATCATCAGTTACTAATGGTATATTTGTGAATGCTTACCTTGTGGTATCGTGCCACCAGTCTTCCATCGGAATCAAAGACAACGTTTGTGTTGTACTGATAGCGACCATCGCTGGGACACTTGGGGTCTGTGCTGTGATTACATGGTTTCTTATCCCCCATACTGGCAACCACATAAATAGAGTTGTTCCTTGCTAGACAGCTCAACCGTTCTTGCACTGGAGCACGCCCAAACCTAAATTTACAGAATCACAAAACATGGAGGACTAGAAGCAGTATGTATGTAGATCCCACAGTCATCTGTGAGGAAATATTCACAGTAGATCAAGCCATATACCTCCAGATTGGAGGAGGTAATCCAGAATCAAGGTAGAAAATAGATTCTGGGCTAAAGACAGTTTCACATGCAAATGTGCTCCCTGTTTTTAATGAAAGGCAGCCTAAGGAAGTTGCCAGTTTGAGCAAAGGAATGGCAGGAGGAGAGGCTGCTTAACTTTTCCTCCTTGTGTGCTTTTTCCTTCAGAATTGCTCTTCCCAGCAACTGTTCTTCCACCCAAAGGGAAAAGATATTCATTCCTGTAGCTTTCTCCACCTGACTGGGAAAAGAGCTTACTGAGGGAAGGGCTAAGAGCACCCTTGCAAAAGTATTCAGATTGTTAGCTTCCTACAACTTCTCTTCCTTTAAAAACATGGGGCGCTCACCCATTTCCTATGTAACATCTACTGTAATTGCTATTTGAGAAGGTCCAAGCAAGAATTCCAAACTATGTCATACATGAACATATACGAGTATGACTGTACCGCAATGGCTTTTTCAGCTGCTTCAGGAAGGACAGCAGCTGTGGCTGGGGTGAAAGTACATGGCTCTTTCATCACGCCAAAATGTTGTCCCACTTTCAGCATCTTCTTCTATACTGGGGCTCTGAATGCTTGGTTCTGTGGATTGAGGATGCACAAAATCTGGCTGCTCTCATTCTGCCCTGCCTTTATCAAACAGTAACTTCCCCATTGGGCATTCTGAAGGTCAGACATTTATATACATGAAACCCTTCTCCTTCCCCTTTAGCATTTCTATGTATGGTATCAAAAGCTTGTTCACTAAGGAATTGACTTTCCACCTTATGAAGTCACACAGCTAAATAATCTACACCCATGCTCCACTTATAATTAACAGTTCTAAATGGTTTATTAACCAAAACTAGACAGAGTGTGGAGAGGTAGTACATTCTAATAACCAAAGTTGGATATTTCTTTGATATCTTTGGTGCCAGCTCATTCATTCCTGCCTAGTCAAAAATAGCTTCTTTACAAAAGCCTTCCCTGTCAAAATGTTTATTTTCAACCTGTTCCTTTCTTAGCTGTTTATGAAATTCATTGCTAAATCAGCTTTCAAAGAAAGGGCCCTTTCACGTTGTTATCTTGCTTATGCTTATGCTCTTGCAACACCTGTAATCAGACACTTCTTTTTTAATGGTTTAAAATTTAACAGTTTGTTTAATTTACTGGTTTAATGTTTTCCATAGCTGAAGAGCAAATGTTGCAAAATTTGCAGAATATATTTTTAAAGCAGCAGGATGAGGCACATAGGGAAAATAATAATGACTTTAAAAGAGAAGCCATGTTTATCTTCACACTTGTTCACACGGTTCTCATTTTAGGGATCGGAAGCCCTCTTTTGTACCTAGTTTGCAATCAAGAGGACATACAACATCCAGTTGCACTACAAACATTATTTAGGAAACATAGAACATAGCAAGCCAGAAAGGATGCTGTGGGCCATTTATTCTGACCCCCAGCACAAACCAGCTTCACCCATATAATATCCAACATGTGGGTGACCATATTCATACATTGCAATAAGTGAGTTGGTTGGCATGTGACTAATCCACACTGAGCCCCAACTGATGTTTGGGCTCACCACAGGATGTTGGCCCTCTGCTCCCTGCTCAGTTCTACAGGTATCTGATGGGACACCATGCGTAGAATAAGTCTTCTCCTCTCTTCTCGTTACTATGAGCCATGTCAGGTTCACCACAGCTTTTTGTCCTTTTCACCATTTTTTTCCCTGTCAGAGTGTGCACAAGCTGGCTGTCAGGCTGGCTTTCACGATTCCCATTTTGGTAGCAATGCATGGCTCCTCCAAAATATCCCAGCATGTTGGAAGGGCTGCCTTATTATTATTATTATTATTATTATTATTATTATTATTATTATTACTACTACTACTACTACTACTACTACTACTACTTTAGTAACAGTAACATTTAAAAAAGGAGAGAAAGAAAAAGAGAGAGAGAGAGAGAGAAAGAAATACCTTAAACAAATATTTTATATCAAATATCAAAACTTTCATTTCTACTTCAGTCACATTTTCTGAAATTTGAAATTCAATTAAAGTTCATTGAAAATTCCTTCTAAATTGCAATTATTTAACATATTTTCTATTCACCTTGACTCAGCTTACTAAAACAATGCCATATTAATATAAATATTAATCTCTAACATATTTTCAGAAGTTCTATTCCCTTTATAGGTGTATTTTTCTGTTGTTACTTTCCCCAATAAAAAGTAAGTTATGTAAAATATGATTTCCATGTATCATTAAATTCTTTGGCTATTATCTTTTTACATAATTAGTCAGTCTTGCCCTTACACTAACTGTATTACTACATAGTCAGCTAACTTGATCTTCTTGTCTACAATAATTGATTCTTCTGACTTCCATTTTGAGGCTATTTTAACTCTAGCCACAATTGTCATGTACTTAAATAACTCCATTCATTAACTCAACTTACTATAATGATGAACATCAGTACAAGAGTTTATCTTTGAAAAAAGGGGGGGATGAACATTTGAACTATAAAAAGGCTCAGAACAAAGTACAAAATATACATCCCATGGAAACTAAAAAAAGAGAAAGGGAAACAATTATAATCTTGCTGTGAAGTGGTGTATCTTCTATAGAAGTTATCTTTTATAACACCCCTTTCTCAAAAAAAGATCCTTGTTTCTTTCTGTAAGCTGTCAAGAGGAACCAAAGATGGGAAGAATGGGTATGGAGCCTCAGCTGGGTCGGCACCCAGGGTTTCAAATCTTACAGTCATACCACTATGCAATCAGTGTAACATCAATACAAAAAATATTTGTATGCACATTTATTTTTTAAAATACTTGGCAGCCCCAGAGAGCCCCTCCAATGTGCTGTTCGGGCCCTTTGAAAAGAGTGCTTATAGCTGTCGAAAAGATTCTCACAAAAGCCAGCGAGATAGGCAGCTTTTGTAATCTGCAAAGAAATTGGACATTTAAATGAGTTGAGGGGTGGAGCCATGGCAAACCTGAACTAACTCTCTGCGTGGAAGGGAAGAGGCCTGTGCCAGCTGCCCACCTGAACCGCTTGGGAGGCAGCTGGTGCTGCCCCTGCCCAGTCGGCCCAGGGGTTCTGCTCCTGCTTTTGACACAAGACACTCTGGTCAATGACCTGTACTTGTGATGGGGTTGGGAATCTGGGGTTGGATGGCACAGCTCATCATATACAACAACCCCTAAAGCAGCCAATTAGTGGATAGGATGGCTTGTTCTCTGCATGCAAACTGCGCTGGTGTAGGTCTGCAAGGCACAATGGGCGGCCATGTTGTGTGAATACATTCACTGTTGTGGTCCAGACATGTAGAGAACTTCATTCCACACTGGTCCCCATCCTGGCTGTATGGTTTATTTATTTATTTTTCGATTTATATCCTGCCTTTTTCCTACAAAGGGCTCAAGGCAGCTTACATCTCCTCCTCCATCTTATCCCCACAACAACAACCCTGTGAGGTAGGTTGGGCTGAGAGTCTGTGACTGGCCTCAAGTCACCCAGTTGGCTCCATGACTGAGTGGGGACTAGAACCCAGATTGTCTGAGTCCCAGTCCCTTGTTCTTAACCATTACGCCACACTGGCTCTGGTTGATAGTAACCAGCATAGGACTTGTTCAGGTTTCACATCTGACTTCCACAGTGCTGGGATAAGCAGGCTGGCATTCTCCAGGCATTTTGGACTACAGGTCCCAGAATCCCTGACTATTGACCATGCTCACTGGGACATGGGAACTGTAGTGAAAGTATTTGGCATGCACCATGTTCATTATCTCTAGCTTAGAAAAACAGAACCTTTTGGAAAGATACTTCTGCTTCAAGTCACACATTTCAGTGCTACATCACAAGCGTGGTAGCCAGCCAGCACATACTGACATGCTGTCTGGCATGATCTTACACATGTCAAGGCAGAAAATAAACATATTACCCCCAGCATGCCCCAGCCACCCATGCTGAACATGTATAGGATTGCATGCTTAGGGTTCTAGTTGCTGCTGTCTTTAAGACTAGATGCAAACACCCAAGCAATACTTCCCGACCTCCCCGCAAGGAAAAACACACACCTTTCTGGGTCAGTGCATGGAATCCAGTTGACCTGTGGATCTGGAATATCCTCAAGGTAGGGATAAAGGGTTTCTCTGCTTAAGCCAAAACCATATATGCCATTTTCAGGAGTCACAATGATGTGTGCACCCTGTCAAAGAAAAGAAGGGTTGACAATATCCCTGCCACAGGATAACATAATTATAAACTAACATATGTTGCCAAACAATACAATACCTGCTTTGCTGCTGCTTTGATGGCCTTTTCTAAGATGTCCATATTTTTGTTCATAAATTTTAAAGCCTCTTCGGGAGAAACAGGCTGGGTAGTGTTAGGTGCCAAAATGACCGCGTGCTCGTATACTGCTGCAATGTATTTGTCCAAGGCAAAGACCCTCCGATCCAGCAGGAGAATGAAAAGGAAAAGACGTCGCAAAGATGGAAAGGGACTCATTGCTAGAGCTCTGTCTACTGAAAAGAGAGAGTAGCTTATACTTACCAATTGAGGAACAGGTTTAGCAATTACCCTGGAGGAAATGGAAGCCAACACATTTTGGGAAGACTAAAGAATCAACTAGCTACAGTGAAGCAAGTATTTACCTCTTACCTGCTTTTCCAGATGGCTGAGGCTTGAGTCCCAGCTACTGTCTAATTTTCTGGCCAGGCCTTGAAAAAGAGCTGATACAACCTGAGATTGTGCCTTAACAGCTTTCGGAAGGGAATTTTTATTATGGACCAACCATTTGGTGTGGACCTGAAATCGCTCCTGATTAGCTAGAACTATTTTTGTGGGTGTCTATTGTTTACACTACAATTGGCACTGTCAGTACTTTTTTTTTCATTTCCCTCTAACCTCTCTGTTTACAATTTCACAGACACCCTCCCAACCATGTGTACCTTACCAGTATACCTGATAAGACTGCATGCATCTGAGGAAATTTGCTATAGTCCATAAATTTGTTTGTATTTAAGGTGCCACAAGACTCTTGCTTTAGCAGCAATAGACTCCCATGGCTACCTCTTTTGTTAGTCTGCTAGTCAGTGTGTGTAAATGCTAACTGAGTAGACCTCCCCTTGAGAATAGGATTGCTTTTGTCTATTTTCCTGGAGACAGGTAAGAAGTTGCATACATTTTAAACTTGTGTCTGGTACAAGTATTTCTTTGATAGCTGGAGAGTAAAGGGAGGTGATGTTCATAAAGTTAACAGTTGGGCAAGTTTTTGTCACCCTTATAATATTTGACAATATTAGGTTTTGACTCTCCCTGGTCACTAATGTGTCCTCCAAGTATTCTACTTCCTTCTTTAGGATCTTAAATAGTTTTCACAACAGTAAGTAGGATCCTAATGAGAAGGCTGCCTCTGCAGATTTGCTGACTGACCACAACCGACTTTTAATTGCTGACTGACTGACAATATCTATTTCTTTCTCCTCATGCACTTTCAAGCTCCGCCCACAGACTCTCCATCACCAACCAATCACCTTGCTCACTTATCTCCCTCTTTTACTCCCCTTGCCCTTCTGAAACTGACCAACAATTAAAGTTGGCCACACATACACTTTAAATAATTACACTCAGTATGCTGTGCATAATACACAGGTGGTAGTGTAGTGGTTAGAAGGCTGGATTGGGATCAGGAGAGCTTGGCTCTAACTCCCACTCAGCCACAAAGCTCACTGGGTGACTTTGGGCCAGTCACTGACTCTCAGCCTAACCTACTTCCCAGGGTTGTTGTGGGGATACAATTGAGAAGGAAAGAAGGATTATGTAAGCTGCCTTGAGTCCTTGGCCATAAGAGTGTTCTGTGGGGAACAAGGGGGCAAGTGCCTGTGGAAAAAAGATCCAAGTTCCTCATGGGATGGAGAAATACAGCTCAAGGTCTGATATTTTCTTCATACATAAAGTGTCTGAGGGAAAAAAATGGAACCCAACACATTATTGGAGGTTGGGAGAAGGGCAGCCCAGGAATGCCAGAAGGCCTGGTAGGGACTCCACTGTGGTTCTCCACCCTTGCCCATCTTGGTTAAGAAAACTTCCACTTCTGTCTCCCTGGGAGGCTCTAAAGAACAATAGAGGAAGATGACCTTATGTTCTTTGGGGCCGCATCATAATTCTAATGCTTTGTACCTTCTGCTCACTGCCCTGGTGAGCCAACTCAAGAGCAAATTTCTCTGCCTGCCATACATGTATTTTGGGGGGGGGGGGGTGTGCCCATGCACTTGATGGTTAAGACACAATGTTCACCCAATCCTCATGTATGAGATATAGGAGCATTCTTATAGTAGTACCAGGAGCATAAAAAACCAGAGCTGGCTCTGGTATTGCCTGGAGTGCTCAGGACTTCATGGCCTCCATGATGGTCATGGGGCTGTCTCAACATGTCATAGGCCTGACCCATGAACGTGGACACATGCTGGACCTTGTTTTCTCAACAGGGCAGGAAGAGGGTGATCTGAGGGTGAGCAATGTATGTTTGACTCCCCTGTCATGGTCAGACCACTTCCTCGTGAGGTTCAAGCTCGATGGCAGCCCTTCTCTCTGTAAGGGTGCGGACACTTTTGTCTTGGTCTGCCCTCTGAGCCGGATAGATCCGGATGGATTCCTGAAAGCTCTGGGGAAGTTTCTGGTTGATAAAGCTGGCGCTCCTGTTGATGCTCTGGTTGAACTATGGAATGGGGAAATGGCCAGAGCTATTGACACAATCGCTTCTAAGTGTCCTCTCCTGCCTGGCAGAACTCATTCATACCCTTGGTATACACCTGAATTATGAGCGATGAAGCGGGTTGGGAGACAACTAGAGTGTAGGTGAAGGAAATCCTGGGATGAATCTGACCGAACACACTTAAGAGCTCATTATCAAGCCTATACTGTGGTGGTGAGGGCGGCAAAGAAGAAATTCTTCTCCACTTCCGTTGCCTCCTCACAATGCCGTCCAGTGGAGCTTTTTCAGGTGGTACAGGGGCTGGTACATCCAGGCCCTAAGAAAGATCCTGTACCACCCTCGATAACCCGCTGTGACAGCTTTGCCCAGCACTTCAAGGAGAAAATCGCTCAGATTCGTCAAGAGCTGGACTCCACCAGTGATTCCGATTCCGTAGGGGAGGTGCCAATGTTACCGTCTGGTCACATATTGTTGGATGAGTTTCAGTTATTGCAGCCTGATGATGTGGACAAGGGCTTGGACAAGTACATCCCACCACCTGTTTACTTGACCCTTGCCCATCATGGCTACTGGCCAAAGCCAAACACAGGATGGTGCCTGAAGCCTGGAGGTCATCAACGCCTCTTTGAGGGACGGCCGGATGTCTGCCTCACTAAAGGAGGCAGTGGTTAGGCCAGTCCTAAAGAAGGAGTCCCTGGATCCAGAGATGGCCTCCAATTATAGACCGGTGGCCAACATCCCATTCTTGGGCAAGGTGTTGGAATGGGTGGTGGTAGGACAACTCCAAGCACTCTTGAATGAGACTGATTATCTGGACCCATTTCAGACTGGCTTCAGACCCGGGTATGGTACTGAATCTGCCTTGGTCGCCCTGTATGATGACCTGTGCAGGGAGAGAGACAGGGGGAGTGCATCCCTGTTGGTTCTCCTGGACCTCTTGGTGGCTTTCGATACCATCGACCATGGTATCCTTCTGGATAGGCTAAGGGAGCTGGGAGTAGGAGGCACTGCTTGGCAGTGGTTCCACTCCTACCTCAACGGCTGATTCCAGAAAGTGGTGCTGGGGGACTTTAACTCTGCGCCATGGCAGCTATGTCATGGAGTTCCGCAGGGGTCTATTCTGTCCCCCTTGCTATTTAACATCTACATGAAACCGCTGGGAGAGGTCATTAGGAGGTGTGGGCTGCAGAATCATCAGTACGCTGATGATACCCAGCTCTATCTCTCTTTCTCAACCAATCCAGGTGAGGCAGTGGCTGTACGGAACTGGTGCCTGGCCGAGGTAATGGGCTGGATGAGGGCCAATAAACTGAAGCTCAATCCAGACAAGATGGAGGTCCTGTTGGTCGGTGGATCAGGATTTGGGATGGGGGACCTAGACCTTGTCCTGAATGGGATTGTACTCCCTCTTAGGGACAGGGGGCGCAGCTTGGGAGTGCTCCTCGACCCAGAGCTATCGTTGGAAGCTCAAGTAACAGCGGTGGCAAGGAGTGCTTTCCTTCAGCTTAGGCTAATCCATCAGCTGCATCCCTACCTGGAGGACGACTGCCTAACGACAGTGACACATGCATTGGTTAGTTCCCGACTGGACTCCTGATTGGACTACTGTAACACGCTCTATGTGGGGCTGCCCTTGAAGACAGTCCAGATACTTCAGATGGTGCAAAACAGAGCAGCCAGGTTGCTGACGGGGACTGGGCATTACTCTCACATAACCCCAGTCCTCTACCAGCTTCACTGGCTCCCCATCGAAGTCCGGGCTCAATTCAAGGTGCTGGTTATCACCTACAAAGCCCTTAATGGCTTAGGACCTGGATACTTGAAGGAATGCCTGCTTCCATATTTGCCCTCCTGCCCCTTGAGATTGGCAGCAAAGGCCCTCCTCCGGGAGCCTTCCGTGAGGGACATCAGGAAGCAAAGTACCCGGAGGAGGGCTTTCTCTGCGGTGGTGTCCCATCTGTGGAATGAGCTCCCCAGAGAGGTCCGCCTGGCACCATCGTTATTTGTTTTTCGACCCCAGGCTAAGACCTTTTTATTCAAACAATATTTTAACAACATATAATATTTATAGGTTTTAATTGTGCAGTCAGGGTGTTTCCGGGTTTTACTTGTATTTGTATTATATTTATTTATTTGTGTGAGCCGTTCCGAGGCTATATAGCTAGAGGGCAGCATACAAAAACTTTGAATAAATAAATAAAACAATAAACTATGCTGAGAGGGGTTATCTGCTGTTCTGATTAAGGCTCGCTTGATGAATTGACATGCCCAACTCTCTTTCATTTCTATCTAGAGTAGCCATCTCATCCCTGAAAGATTGCTTGGAAGTGGGGATGGGCAGACAGCCTTATTTCAGACATGGCAGAATTGCTTATGACAGGGTGCTCTTTGCCCAGAGAAGTAGTGCATCTGGACTGGGTCACGCTTCCTTCGAAAGATCACATCCGCACTCTGGAAGTACTGATATGTTTCTGGTGGGACCATTGCCAGGAGAACTTTTTAGTCAGCTTCACTTGATATGCCAGCTGCGTCCTCTGCTGGAAGAGAAGACACTAGATGCTGCTGCCTTGGCGACCTCTCAACCAGATTACTATAACGTGCAGTTCGTGAGGCTGTTCTTAATGATGGTTTGTAAGCTTTAGCTGGTCCAGAATATTGCAGCCTGACTGGTGGAGTTGGAGTGGAGTTGAGAAGCCGGTGAGGCAGTTCCTTATTCATAGGGATGCTGACATTATCTGTCACCCACCTCAGACTTTCCCACTGTCTCTGAGCTTAGCTACAATCCTTGATGTAGCTGCAGAGAAATGAGTTTTCCCAGGAAACACTCTGTTGTAGGGATTTTGCAGTGGCTTGGGCTGGAGCAGGCAATTAAGAACCACCCTTTTCACTCTTTCTGGTGAAGATGAAAAGTGTTAGAACTGGTTTGCTGATATGGATCCACACAGCTTCTTACATTTGGGGATTTCCTTTGATCATGGTTATGGAGACTATCATGATGAGCAACTGAGCAGGTGCTCTTGGGCTGGCAGGTGCTGTGTTGCTGATACTAGCTTTAAGCCTTTGTCCACTACTGTGATTGTTATCTGGCCTGCATCTCCCAATGTAAGTTGCTAAAAAGGAACCAGTTCTTTCACATACACTGCAACTTAGTTTTGAGTAAAATCCCACCACCACCAGAGAACTTCGGCTATGGGACAGTAGAAAAATGAAATAAATAAAAAGCTAAGAATTGTAGCCTCCACCAAAGTGTAGCTCGTTGGCATTGTACATTCAGCACTGCTTCTGCTTGGAGGTCCTGGTTCTATTGCAGTAGGAGAGGAGAGGATTTATATGTGAGCATGCCTTGTCCCCATGGTGCCACATCATAGGTGGCTTCAGCAGAGGTATACAAGGAATGAATCAGAGGCCAGAAGCACAAGATGGACATTTTCTTTACATATAAAAGGTCCAGTTTAATTCATTCTATTAAAAGCCAGCCAGATAAGATATATAAGGCACTTCTTGGAAGAAGAAAACACTCCACATCAGCTGCCTGAGAAGTTACCTCCCACAACCTAACAGTAGAGATTGCCCCAGGCTGACACTCCTTTTCCTGCTTAGTTCACAAAGCTCTGTCCCTAGCTCAGAGCTCTTTTACACTTAAGACATACTTACTACAGTATGATGTGGTGGTAGTTATAACAAAATGCTTTTAGGTCACTGTAGATATGTAAAAATAAGTCTAGTAAAATTACTTAAGTAAACCAAGATATTCAATTTAAGTAGGGTCAGAGTAAGTCATATAAACACTAAAAGATAATTCAAAACATTTTCTTGATTGGAAAGTTTGTGAGTCACCTTTCCACTCCAACAGCATCCATAGTGACTTAAAACAGACTGAAGTAAATTGCATATGTAGTTGATTATTTGGAAAGAAAAATAGGGTTCAAAAGTTTAATTGCAAGTTTCTAGAAGCTAACTTTAACTAACCTTTTGTATATAACACATCTCTAAGCAACATACTGGGAGACCAAACATGGGCCCACTAAGGAACAAGAAGCTGGAAAATACAGGGCACAACAGTTAGGTAAATCTCCCCAAAAAATGTTCAGGGATACCTAACTTTCTTCCATTTTGGCTAGTGGAATCATTCATATGACTGGGGGTGAAGAAGCATAACCTCACACATTTGGGTTCAGGACAAATAGATGGTCTTTGTGTCATTGTATCATCTAGAAGGGACAGGAGAGCCTGAAGGAATGTTGTTGTGATGGGTTGGACATGACTTTGTGACTAACAAGAAAAATCATCTAGAAGAATGTGTTGGATTGGGCACATCTCCTGCTCCTAACAGAACCAAGGATGCTTCCCGAAGGCTCCTACCAATGCCAGTCAAAAGATGCTGTAGTTATTCCATCCTTCCCTCTTTAACATATGTGTGTGTGTGTTGAGAATGAGAAAGATGGAGAAAACTGTGAAAAAACATGGGCCGTTTACAAGTGGAAGAAAGTGTCTGGAATTCTGTGAATGCGTGCAGGTGCTTGTATCACTAAAGCGTCATATGGAAGCAATAAAATTACTTAGAGATGAGAAAGTTAGAAACTCAGGGAGTGCTTCATCACACATTAGCCCCATCAGGGAAGATGCCGTTCCTTTTCTGCATCTTCTAATGGCAACAAAGAAATGCTAATTTCCCCCAGTATGTAGAAGATGACAGATAGAAAATGGCATGTCTCTTCTATATGTATACTCTGTTTAGTTCAAGTTGGATTCAAAAATAACCCCTAACTAGGGTGATTTCCCCTCACCCACCAGTCTCAAAATAGAGATTTCATTTGGCTACCATTTCATTCACAGAAAAGTACAAATCTTAATAAAGTCATGATCATGGTTATGAATTATAGCAGTTTTCCCCAACCTGGACACCAGCAGATGTGTGTGATAACAACTTTTATAATTCACAACCAACCAATGGTCCTGATGGCTGAAAATTATGGGAACCTGTAGTCCAACAACTTGCCCAGTTTGTCTTACACTGGAATGTTGATACTGTCTATTTGTGCTTTTGTTGTAACCCCTTTGCCCCAAGAGAATTCAGGAAACCAGACATAAAATGTAGCAACTAGATGAACACTTGAGAATACTGAATATAGGACAATACAATTAAAGGTGATCTCATGGAGAAGCGTGCAGTGGATGTGGAGAGTCTTTTTCATACCACCTTCCAAAAAGAGCCACAGTTAAGACTGGCTTGGATATGCGATGCTTGCTTACCAGCCGTCCATCAGTCAATACCTGGGGAACAGAAAGTGAAGGTAAAACTCCTGTACATGGGGAAGTAAGTTTGTTTGGAACTATGCATGAAAATAAAGGCAAAAATTTATCACTAAAGGTCTAGGACAGTTAAAACTTGCAATCAACTTTTGCTTTCTGTACCTGAAATTCTCCAGGGGCCAGCTGAGTCTCAGTGAGCAGGACTTCAGGAAACACATAAGTGGTGTTAAATGTCCCACTGAGGGAAAAGGAATCGAACCTTGTACGAGCAGTATCTACTTTCTGCCCACATGATTTCACATCTGTGTTGTTACACTTCAGTAATGTGCAGATCTATGGAAAGAGGCAAGGGAAAGTTAATTATGGACCCAAATCATCCATAGTAAAAAAAAAAAAAAAGCCTCATGCTCATAGAATGGAGGAAATGCTAGTCCTTAAGTTACGCTATGGTGCCACTGGAATTTGAAAAAGTCCTCCTACACTTAGCCATATACAGTATGTATTTGTATAAGGCATTGTTATCCTGCTCTTTTTCCATTTACTTAAATAAAAACAACACAGACTCTACCTACAGACTTACAGGCTAAAAGACACATTGTAAAAGGAAAGTAGGATGAGGTAGGAAGAGGAAAACAAACAAGACTAGGCACCAATTCTTAATGTGACATTATAGTTCTGATCATTCATACTAACCCGTAAGCTTTTTAAACAATAAGCTAGCTAAAAAGATAATTTAGATAAATGTGGAATATTTGACAAAGCAGCAGGCCATTCTTTCTACCATACTGGAGTAGAGGTTGCTTGTGCTGCCTCAGGGAGAAGTAACATGAATTATTTTTCAGTGCTACATAAATCCTTTTATAATTCTAAGGGATGCTATGAAAATAATTAGCATTTACATGACATCTCCTTGATTCAAAAACAAGCAAACCGCACATGGAATATGATGTTCAGCAAGAAAGCCACAAGGTATTTTTGAGCCATGTAAGGAAAGGGTGGGAAACAGGCCTGGGCCCTAAATCTGGCTGGCTGGAGTTTCCCAAATAGCTGCACCCTTTCCCCCCGCGCCACATCTCCTGTATATGATGGCTTGTCCTAATCAAAGCATGGAACAGTTAAAGATTGTTCTGAACAGAAATAAGATGCTACTATCACCCATCCCATCTTCCTAAATCTCTTACCTGCAGGTAATACTCCCCTTCAATTACATGAAGCCCATCGAAAGCACCCAATGCGTAAACTTCATCATCTCGCTTTTCCACCATCCTGTAGTTCAAATGGCAGCAAAGACCATTTTGGCAGACAGTGTAGTTCCCTGCTTCTTGTGATAGTTCCGTGAAAGTGAAATTATCAAAATAGATGGTTCCAATAAAAACCGGACTCTCTGGAGACAAGTGCTTTACACTTGATGCATATAAATGCCAGTTCACAGCAGGAGGAAATGTGGGTGAAAGACGGGGGTACGCATCCAGTTCTGCAACCAGCAGTTTACCATTCTGTGTTTTCATATCAAAGTGATATGCCCTGGGGCCATCAGGTGCGAAGATGCCGCTCCCTGTACATAACAAACAAGACTGGGATGAGGCCAGCTTTATGCTTCATTTCTCTGCTCAGCTGAAGTAGGGATTATGGAACACCTACAAAGAAGCTTCCAGAGAGCTTGCCTCTTTGATTTTGTGATAGAAACTGAAGCATAGGATGCCAGGAGCTGAAGTGAGAAGGATAAGATGCTACTGGTGGGAGGGGAAGAAAGCATTTTGGGTTTGGACTCAGGAAATGCCAGGTGGCTCCATGGTAGAGCATCTGCTTGCCTGCTGAATGGTCCAACTCCAGTCCCCTGCATCTCTAGATAAAATGGGGGAAATGCCCATCTGAAACCCTGGAGAGCTGCTGCCCGTCAGTGTTGATAAGACTGGACTAGACAGACCAAGGTTAGGGATGTCAGAGAGCCTGCAATGGATTCAGATGAGTTTAGATTCCTATGAATCTGGCCTTGGATTTTGCAGCGAACTGACCTTTTTGAGTTGTGAGCATTCTGCAGACTTGGTGACCTTTTAAAAAACTTTGAGGGGCATGTGGACGGGAAGAGCTTATTTGTGCAAATACACACATGAGCAAGCATGCATTAGCGGACAATGGCATTCTTATACCAGAAAAATGAGATTCTGTCAATGATGGGATAAAAGATGCCTGACAATTCACAAGCGACACTCTGTGCCAGGTCGCTCATGTTCCTAAGCTGAACTGCCCGAGTAGCAACCTTCCCAACACAGCTTCTGGGTGCCTCATGTATGCTTCCAGGTGCGCTCCATCACAAGGCTGGGTTCTGATCACCTGTTAGCACATGCAAAGTCATCTCATGCTTATCGGCTGTCTTCAGGGAAGCATGCAGAAGATTCCTAACTATGCTTTCGGCACTAGCAACTCTGTATATGGTGAACAGAAATCTCTAAACACAAATCACAGTAGAAACCCAACATTTTCATCAGCATAAATTAGGCCCCTCTGTATTCCTCTTCTGTCCTCCCACCACTTTCTAGCTTTGGCCCTCCCGGGCTTGACTGAAGCCTAAGTCAAGTAATTTAGAGCTGAAATTACCAGTAATGTCCCATCTGGGCTTGTGTATGTTAGCTGCGAGGAGGTTGACACGCATCCCCATAGCCCAGGCTGAGTAGTACTGAACAGCAGACAAAAGAGGTAGCGTATTCATCCAAGCGGTTGGAAAGAGGACAGTGTCTACTCTGAACTTTTCCACCAGTGACACGGCAGGTTCCCCGAAATTGAGCATATCAGCACAAGTGAAAACACCAAGCTTCCCAAAGGGAGTATTGAAGTGAATAAACTGTGGATCCTTGGCATAATTAAAGTAGGTTTCAGATGCAAATAGGTTGTACTGTAAAAGACAGAAAAAAAATTTACATATATAAAGTGGAAGAAAATCACCCAAGGAAGAAAAAAAGCTTTGTTTCTGTTGTTTCTTATCCAGAGCAGAATTTTACATGTCCTGGCTATTATCACCACCACCACCACCACATATTTCTATACTACCTAATAGCTGAAATTATCTGAGTATTTTAAAATAACACCTGAAATACAATATAAAATACAGGCAACATCATAAACATTACCATCTTTATAAAAATTAAAATCATCACCAAAATTACCATAAAAATTCGTGAGCCATGTTTTAAACAAATATAAAAATCTGCAATAGCTTATACAAATTAAATCATAAGACCTATTTAAGTGGCCAGCATAAGCCCTGATATAATAGGAAACCAACTCAATGACCTGTGATAGAAATCAGTTTTAACTCAGGACTGAACAGGTATTACAATTGGTGCCATGCAGCTTTCAGTGGGCAGTGTGCTCCAAACTGGAGGGCTGCCTCTCAAAAGGCTCTTTTCCTTGTTGCTGCCAGCTGAACCTCCCTTGGAGGTGGTAATCAGAGACGGGTCCCAGATCTTGACTGCAGTGACTGGGTAGATTGCAGCTGCGAAAACTGCTCCATAAGGCATTCTGTTCGCATGCTGTATAGGGCTTTATAGGTTAAAACAAGCACTTTGAAATTGTGCTCAGCAGCATATAGGCATCCAATGCAAGTGTGACAGAATTGGGGTTATATCTTTGGACTGCTTTGCCCCTGTTACTTGTTTGGCTGCCATTTTTCTTGGCAAAGCTGTGAAAGTGATTCTTATTTTATGATCAGAGTTATTAGAATACAAATTCTAATGACACCTGGATTTTCTATCTTCAAAAAGTAGGTTAAAAGACTGTTTCTTTCTCCTGGTGGGTCTAGGAATAGTCCTAGATGCAGCTAGAAGCCAACCCAGCACCCGCCAGAGGCAAATTTGAATGCCATCTCCTCCCATATCCCTATTTAAAGCTGCAAGGAAGTGCAGAGTCCATGGCTTCAACATCATGGCTTCCTCCTGAGTTGGCACATACAGCACTTCTTTTTAAAATCATCCAGTCAAATTAAGAATTCCAGTGAACTCAAAAGGTGCACATTATTTTGTGATCATGGGGTTTGTCTAATCAGGTCTTGCCCCAGTAAGGATTCTGGAATCTAAAACATGGCAGTTCTTCTGTCAGTGAAAGCCTGTATTCTCAGCCAACTCCAACCGATTCAGAACTTCTCTTCCTGCAAGAGCTTCCCTCCTTCTGTGGGTGACAGGCAGCTTCCAGGGTCTGGAGGGAAAGGGGTGCACATGCACCTCATCTCCATGGAATTTACTGCTGCAGCTCCAGCAAAAAAAAAAAAAAAAAAAAAGGCGGCAAGTTCGGAAGGAAACAAGGCAAGCCGACTTACAGTTCCAGGAAGTGTGATTTGCTTGGAAACACAGCATGCACTGCCAACACATCTTCTTGTTTTCTTGAAAACTCACCCCCTTTTTTCCTACTGCTGCATTGGCAGCAAATTAAGCAGCAGTGGGGGGGGGGCAGGTAGGGTTGCAAACACAGAGAAGGCGGCCACATGCAGCCTGTGGGCCATGTGTGGCCCGATCCTGGCACAGAACAATGCATGCCATGGGCCCCTCAGTGGAGTCGCCCAGAGTGATCACGTGGGACCCCCCTGTCTCAGTGAAGGGCATGCCGGACTCTTCTTTGGGTGGGAGAAGGGGGAGTCTGTTTCTCTCCCAGCTAAAAGACAGAGATATGAATTAATGTTCGCTCCCGTGCTTAATTAGAGGCATTAGTTACAAATCCAAGGAGAGGATGATGTTTACCTTGTGATAACGTGCCACAAATTTCCCATCCGAGTCATAAACCACATCTGTATTGTAGTGATACCGACCGTCGCTGGGGCACTTGGGATCACTGGAGTTGCATGGTTTTTTGTCCCCCATGTTGGCAACCACATAGATGGAGTAGTTCCTTGCCATGCAGCTGAGTCTTTTTTGCACTGGGTTGAATCCAAACCTAATTTGAGATGAACAATGCAATAACCAAGATGGATTCCATTCAAACGGTAGGAAATAATGGAAATTCATGAGCGGAGCTGGCTGGAGCTGGAAGTCAGACTAGATGGCCCGGGAGGACCCTTCATCTTGCTCTGTTTCTATGTTCTAAATCTGGCATTTCTGCAAACCTCCTCATCTGAATGGGGCAGATCAAAGAATAATGCACATTACAGTTCTGATAATAGCTATTCTTCCTTCCCTATGCACCATGGATCCAGATGCAAAACTAGAAAGTAGATTTGATGAACACCCATTAGTTCTTTTATACAATGACTGGTATTATGTTTGTGGGGGGGGGGTTGTTAACTTTATAGGACTACATGAAGTTGTATGTGTACGAGGTGTGACACAAAAATAACTGGATTAGTAATTTAAAAATATTTCTTGATGAATTACAGCATTCTGAACATTGTCACCTTCTATATATTCCCCCTCCCGATCTCTACACCACTCCATATGCATTTTCCATTGACTGAAACAAATGCATAAGGCTGTTCAACAGGCTTGCCGCATTTGTCTTCACTTCATCCATTGATGCAAAACATGTTCCCTTCAGGTCACTTTTGATTTTTGGGAACAAGTAAAAATTACAGGGAGCTAAATCGTGTGAATAAGGAGGATGATCGAGGACAGGAAATTTTTTTCCACTCAAAAACTGCTTTACGGAAAAAGCATTGTGCGCGGGAGTACGATGTTGATTCACTGTTCCATTTCCCCCCCAACATTATCACGGCAACATGTGTAGTGAGTGTAGTTCAAATACTGACTGGGCTATTTATAGGATATACCTAGCCGGTCGGCAATTTAAGAGGGCATGTAGGAGGAGATATAGTTCTATGATATACATCTAGCCAGCCTCCAGACAATTTTTCAGGAAAGCCCTAAGCGCAATCAGGTTTTTTCTGTGTCTCACCTCATATTATTGATGGATAAACTTGGCTTTTCAGATGACATGGAAGTCCAATTAACTACTAGGGAAATTACAGCATAAAATCTTGTAAAGTTTTTAAAATTAATTTTTTAATTTAACTTACAGTTAGGGTTAGGGTTTAAACTTTAAATTAATCTTTGTTAATTTGTTAATTCTCTGTTGGGAAAGATTGCCCTATACTGCCACCTACTGGAATAAATTTGGCAAACAGATTTAATATGTCTAAAAGTTGAATCAGATGCAATATTGGCAGAACTCTAGAAATGAGATGTTTCTTCAACCCAGCATGTAACCTGTGCTACCACAGGAAATTTACAGTCTTCTCCTAAATGTGCTTACATCACAGTAAACCTCACAGTTCAATGTTCTACATGGGAGCGTGCTTTAGTTAGGATTTGAGAAGTGTGTTTTTATAAAATAATCAAACCATTTACAAGCTAAGTATGCAGAAAGACACTCCAGATTTCACAGAGTATCCCTTACAAGCAGTACTTGCCTCATTGCTGCAATATAACTCTAACCCCAATATTCTATATTGCAACCCCACTTAAATAATATAGGAAAGCAATCTCAACATAGGTTATTTGGGATTGGACACCGTAATTGTTCGACAATGCAGTTACACTTAATTAAATGTCCAAGACAAATACCACTCTATAGTCACAATGACTAAGCCAGACTGGAAGCTGTATACTGTATGTATACTAAACACCATCAAGGAAATTCATGATTACCACACTCCAAGAATGGCAAAGTATGTTTGTTAAGAAGTAGCCAAGTTACATTATACTGAGTCCATACCACAGGGAGTTTGTATTCTGAATATGAGTTTTTCAGTATTTCTCTTAGGATATGAGGGAAGCAAAAAAAAAAAAAAATACCTTTCAGGATCATTGCACGGAACCCAGTTGACCTGAGGATCAGGTATATCCTCCAGATAAGGATAGATGGTTTCTCTTGTGAAGACCCAGCCATAAATGGCATCTTCAGGAGTCACAATGATATGGGCTCCCTACAAAAGAAGAGCACTTGAAGCCTATATACCTCAAGGACAAATACAGTTCTGGTTTAAAGAAGGTGCACTACCTGTTCAGAAGCTGCTTTGATGGCTCCTTCCAAGACATCTAGATTTTGGTTCATCAGTTTCAAGGCATCTTCTGGAGGGACAAGTTCTGGAGTGGCTCCAGGAAGTATAACCGCATGCTCATAGACAGCTGCAATGTAGGTGTCCAGGCCAGAGACCCCAAGAGTAACAGCAGTCAGAAATACAGCAGAAATGGGAAGAGGGAAAGCAATCATGCTTGCTGTGTCTGTCTGGTGCCTGAAATGTGAAAGACCAGATGAGGAGGCTGCCTGGAGCTGTGGAAGAGAAGGAAATGATTTATTCACACCGAGGGAAGTCACTTTTCATGCAACCGCGACCCAGTTCTGGAATGGCAGTGTTGTGTAATGTGGAGAAATTGCCACACACTAAGCAAGCTCTACACCTCCTACCAAAGGATTGTGCAAGTGCATGGTGATTATTCATGTAAAAGGAAGCTTGCAAAAGCTAAACATGCATTGTATTTTCTGCCAGATTAATCCCAGCAAGGGTGTAGGAAGAGAAGAATGAAGTGTACTGGAACAGGTAAAACAAATGCACATTTCTTGAACTCAATTTAATTCAGTTCCTGAAATTTAGCCACTCTGGCTCTCTGTAGACAAAGAACACCTGGAGTTCCCCTGAATGTAGAAATCTAATCAAGGTCCAAGTATTCATGGCAGAAAAATTAACTTTGCTTGTCATCGTCGAAGGAGGATTGCAACTGCTTTTCCAGTGGCATTTCCAAATAGTATTATTTTTATTGTTATTAAAACATTTATATGCTGTCCTTTGCCACAGCCTCAGGATGGCTTACAAAAATATCAATATAAGTAACAATAAAATAATACAAATCTCAATAAAAACAATCAATAAGTAAGACTGTAATGGGGCAGGTTACATCTTTGCATCTCCCCTACTCTGGGGTCCACAGGAGCATGGAGGTAGAGTCAGCCTCCTCTGTAATTCTTTAGGCCAACCAATCTTCACCCTATATAAAGTCATTCTAAATCAATGGCAAATCCTAAATAGAAGTCTGATCTGTTGACGGTTACCATTCATGGACTTAAACTGAATTCTATGCAGCCAAATACTTTCCTCTAGTTAGCACTGAAGCAGACTTAGTATCTTCCTGCCTTTCCGTATTACAAGCAATGCTATATATATGAATATTCTGCCCTGCAGGAAGCAGTGTTGGGACTTAAGCCTTCCTGAACATTAGGTATGCCCACTTGAATCCTAATTTTGGCAAATGAGAGAAAGGGGTGCAACTCACTGAACTTGCTTGGAAACACAAAGACCCTCCCACAAGCACGTTACTATAAGGTGTTTCACAAGGAATGCGTACTAACAATAAAAACAGGCTGAAAATGGAAAACTCCTTTTCTTAACCTTCTACTATTATGATCGAGCCAAATTTCCCACCCCAGAGCCCAGCTGTTATATGAGAGCCTGTATGGGAGTTAGTGTTGGGACCTGGGAGATTTTGGTTCTTTCCGCTCTCAGCCATGATACCAGGGATGCCTTTGAGCGCATCACTGGCTCTTAGCCTAACTTACATCACAAGGTTGTTGTTGTGATGATAAATGGACAGACCATTGTGAGCAGCCCTGGGGTTCCTTGCTAGAGGGAGAAAGGTGGGGTATGAACATAATTATATAATATCCATCTCTGTTTTTCTGCCTTCTGTTGGGGAGGAGAGAGGAAATGGGCAAAGAAGAGCACATACTAGAACAAATCTTGTGAAAACAAGCTTGGCTAATAAGGGATTAACTAACATGAGGAAAACCAGCTTCAGAGTAACTTCTCCTGCCCGGGGTTTGGGCAGCACCCTGCTTCTACCTTTCCCTTTATAGTTCTACAAGGACTAGCTGGAGCAGCGGTTCTTAATGAGTCAATTGACTACTACCCACTGAATACCCAGCACCAGCATGAAGTGATCCCACAAATAAAACATTAGGATGTAAAAACAGGACTCCCACCAGAACAATGTTGTTCAAATATGTAGGTACATAGAAATTACAGGCATTGGCTTAATAGAATCCACAGCCAGCTCTTTTAGTTTCTTTAAGCCTAACTGGCACTTCTTGGAGAACTTGTTTCTCCCCTGCCTTTGTTAGTATTGCAGCATCTGAGTTCTTCCTGGAAGTGCATCACATATACTTAGTTCCTATGTCAATTAAGTTCATTTTATTGTTGGTTTTTTGCACCAAGAGGAGTCCTGTTTGATTCCTTTGTGGTATGAAATTTCAAGGGCCTTGGATGAAAGTCCCAAGTGACAAGCCTCCTCAAGGAGGTGTGATGTGGCACTCTGTACTACCATCACTTAGCCCTGAGCAGCGTTCGCTTTCCTCCACAAATCACTGGCCACCTTCAACCTTCTTTTAAGGCTGGGGACTATGGCATACCCAGGGAACTCCACTTCCCTTGACAGAGACCCCAGCCAACCAGAAGACACTGCATCGCAACAAAGGGAGCAGTCCTGTATCTGCCAGAAGGATGCACATGACCTTCCTCTGAAGATGGTGCAGAAGCCCACATTGCTGGGAGTAGCATGTACACCCCAAAGCATAATGGTCTGGATCAGTGCTCCACGTGTTACAAGAACCTGGGGCATAATATTCAAGTATAACTATGGAAAATAAAGCACCGAACGAACAAAATATTTTAACTTAGTATCATACTCCTTTATTTTAAATTAGCAGCAGTTTTAAATCATGGTATTCCTTTAGAAATGCAACACAGAATTCTTTGAAAAGTAGTAACAAAACGTACTTCTGGACCTGCAGTAGGTTTATTAAATATTGACAATTAGTGATGCTGAAGTACAAAAGTTTAGTATTACTGGACATACGCCATCTTGTGCGATGCCCAATTTCTCACTGTGCAAAATACTCCTTCTGTCCACCAGACAACTTTTGACACTCCCACGTAGCACCAGCTTCAAACATATGGTCTCAGGAAAGTGAAAAGCCATTTCCCTGCTAAGACAGCAATCCCCTGCACCTATCAAGAGCCCACTGGTCATACTAGGGCAGCATGAACGGGTCAGCCATGTTTTAGAGTTGTCTGCATGTGCCTTCTTTTGTGAGTTACGTTTCTGAATTAGTTCCATGAGTTGAGATTCAAACAGACTTCCAATTCACCGGATAAGAGGTGAGGTTTCTTGCTCTGTTCCCTGAAGAGTTGCAGAACGTGATCTATACAGAACAAAATGAAAGGTTTTGAATCTTCTCAGCCTACATAACACAATTAAGACAAAAACCCAGTGGGGTGCAGAGGTTAAATGTGCTGGACTGAGGAGATCCAGTTTCTAGTCCCCGCTCATCCATGGAACCAACTGGCTGACATTGGCCAGTCACAGACTTTCAGTCTAGCCTACCTCATAGGGTTGTTGTTGGGAGGTTAAGATTGAGAGGAGGAAGAGACTTATGTAAGCCACCTTGACTTCCTTGGAAGGAAAAAGGTGGGGTAGAAATATAAGAAATAAAAAGGAGGAGGAAAGAAGGAAAGGTATGAGCACATGAAAAGACCATACCTGAAAAAGAGCTAGTCATTATCTGGGATGAACTGAAACAACTTATCCCCTGAACAGCTTCTTCCACCTCAACAGTTTACAAATATAATTGTGTTTCAATACTGTTCTTTGTATTTCCCCCCTTTACTTTCCCTGCAGGCTGTGGTGACACACTAGTTTTATTGGTGCCATGCCACAACAGCCTTGATGCCACAGACACTTGCAAATCGTGTCCCAGCTTGACACCGCAGCCAGCAAAATAAATGTTGGGCCTAAATTACCCCAGTGAAAATCTCCCCTTGAAATTGGCATTTAGTCCTAGCAGCAACTTTCCTCACAAGGAAAAGAGGAGATGGGGTGGGCAGGTTGTGCTAATCAGCCCCAATCTTCAAAACAGATGCAAGTTATTTCAAAAAGGCCAGTATCAAAGGTGATTGTACAGTATCTGTAATGTTTTGAAGGGCACTTAAGGTGCAAAGTAAAAAAGAGCATTGTAGAGGCAAATGAGGAAGAAAATGGCTCCAGGCAAAATTACAGCCAGAGGTGACTGAGCAGCATCAGAACTATGTGAATGTTTGACAATGGGGACATTTTTATTTGTTTGCATTGGCTGGGCCACTTTCAAAGTGAATATGGGGATTAAGATAATATTTGGGACCTTCCTCATAAGGCTCTGAGCTGGGCTGATAATCAGGATGAAAGCCATGTAAATAAACCAGGAATCAAACAGAAGAGACCAAATAAGTTACTAAGGCTCTAAAGGAAAATTATGGCTACAGTATTGTTTGGGTTTTAAAAGTAAGAGTAACTTTCACAGTACCTTCTATGTGAGGCTTCATGGATATAAAAAATTCCCATAGCTAGTGCCTAAAGAAAAAGATAGGTTAGTGCTTTTGTATTGTTTCATGTGCAACCACAATAAAGGTCCAAATCAAGAATACTAGTTTACATACACTTAACAGGGGGAATCCACCTTGTATGGCTGCAGCCCATTCAAACCCCAGCTTGTCATTTAGGAATCCACCTAGTGTTGGTCCTACAAAAGACCTAAAGAGAGATCCAGAGAACACACTAGATGAGAAATTATAATTCAGAATCCAAAGAATGCTAGACTAATTGCATAAGTTACTCTTCTTGCAATTTATTAGAAGTCAAAGACAACCCTACCAACAGTTGTCAAGGCACATCTCTTTGCTGAAATAAAACAACACAGGTCACTGGTTCAGGCAGTGAGACAGCCTCACCTTCAGAAGTAGCAGCTTTTTACTGCCTTCTACAAGATGAGAAACTTCAAAGGTGCAGTTACATCAAGGCATTACAGAAGACTGGTTTATTTAACTCGAGTTAGTGACCACATCTACATAAGAAAATAAACCAGAATTCTGGAGAATCCTGGTTATCATCCATTAAAAGTATGTTGTCTGGTTGTTCCTGACACCTTCTGTCACAATGACATTGGCTTCCATACTAATGAATTCACTAGGAGGAAGTTACATTACATCCAAACTTCCAAAACAAGCCAGGAATCATAAGCAGACTTCAAATCGTGAGTTAATGCTGGCAGGAGAAGCCAATCGGAAACCACTGACAGTGTGATTGGGGCATGCTTGTTTGTAAATGCTAAACAAAGAGTCTCTGCAATTCAAGTGCATGGTGTTGAATAATTATAGCCACTTATTCAAAAATCTCAGGACTTTAACAATAATTTTCAGTGGACCATTGAGATCTCTTCTCGATTCTATACTGCTGCCTGCGCCCTTGCCTTCCTGCTTCTGCTCCACCTTGCAAACCACTGCTACGTCAAAGAACCTTAATTTCTTGACAAGAAATGAATGAGCAGTGAAGAGCACAAGATATTACATGGAACTCTGTGTGCATGATCCAGCCCAGGAGCCACACCCAAAAGGATCGCCAGGGACATGACAAGATGCCCTCCTGCTTGGTCTTCCCTGCCATGTGTCAGCAGGCACCAAAGCAATCTGCTGTGAAGAACAGGAGACCTCTGCATGCCTCCACCATCCCCATCTTGGTCAAGGACTTTCAGCTCCAAGCTGTGCTTGTGCCTGATAGCAGTAAGCTCGGCGGCTAAGTCTAGAAACAAGAATTCTTTTGTCAGATTCAGAAGGGGATTTAGAAATGTAGCAGATGGTTTGCTAAGAATCTGAAAGAGTCCTTTCATTTGTTCACATGATTTTTTCTCCAGTTGTTCCATCACAAGCATATAGAGTATTCCTGTATTTGTGCTTAATATTTCAAGAGTTTCTTTAAAACATCTCTTTCTAGCAGTACTAAGCTTGTGTATTATTTTGGATTTAAAAGCATATGGATCTGTACATGAGGAAGGGGACTGTTTGTCCTTTAGTGTAATGTCATGACAGGATTGTGGCTCAACAGCCATAGGCCTTCCAAACCTGTGTGCTTGCCAAGCAGCAGAATGTGGTGGCTTGTGATGGAAGCATTACAATTGCTGCTGTTTATCTGTGCTCAAAACTAGGTTTAATGCAGTGGTAGAATCTGCATTCCCAGCGCAGGAGAGTCTAACAAAGGGAGTGCAAACTAATGATGAACCAGGTAAGCCGTCACCACTCTACCTGTTTAATAGCAACTCCTACCTTGCAAGTCAAGGGTGCAACTTTTAATGTTTGGCTTGGCGGTGAACCAGTAACAGATGTGTGAGCTTGGTTTGGCCCATTTGTCTGTCTGACAAAGGGCCTTGCCAGAAGTACAGTTTCTCAAGAGTTATGCAGGATGCATAAATGCATCTGCTTCAGAGATAATACATTTTGCCAGATCTCAAACTGCTATATTTTGTTTCTGGGAAAACAGAGTTCTTCTCTTTAGCAAATCCATAAAAGTACCATATTTTTTGCTCTGTAAGACGCACTTCCCCCCCCTCAAAAGTAAGGGGAAATGTCTGTGCGTCTTATAGAGCAAATATGTGTGTGCAGTAAGTCTGTCAGATGTGCAGCCCATGGGCAAGTGATGGGGAATGTGCCTGTGATTATGTGCCCATTTGATTCAGAATATTTTTTTTCTTGTTTGCCTCCTCTAAAAACTAGGTGCATCTTATGGTCAGGCACGTCTTATAGAGCGAAAAATACAGTACATCTAAGTTAAAGCAAAGTCTAAATTAAAACAACTCAGGCTGATAGGAGATACTTGGATAATGCTCATTTCCTGGTGACAAAGGCATTGCATCACTTTTAAGTTTTGGACTTAAACATACAGATTTAGAATGATTATAAATCCAATCTCTTCAAAAAAGGAAAGTTATACTATTTCCTTTGTTCTTGCTTCTAAAGATTGAACAGAACCAAGGAGGAAAAAAAGTTAGGTGTTGGTTTGTGTCTCGGGTTCTTGGCACTTTTGTTTAAGCACTATGTTTGGGATAGACAGGTGGGGGGTTATTACATCGCGTGTACTGTGACAAACATTCAGATCATGTGATACAGGGTGGAAAGATGGGGTGAGATTCATCAGAGAGCGCTATTTCTCCAAAGTGCGAGGGCAGGAAGACTCCATCCTGCCCTTCACATTGCAGGGGTGGCAGTTCAGATTATGTATGCACTCCTTGGCCGGACTAATATCAGAGACACACTGAAGCACATGCTCACACTCTCTGCATGTGTGTTTGCAGGGCACACACAAAAGCTCATGCAGACAGTGCCAGCTCAAGTGAGCCAGTTAATTCCCCCCTCTAGGTACAGTATGGGGCAGGAAGGGGAGCACTTGGGCTCACTACAGAAAAGGAAGAGTACACGGTTTGATGGAATCATCCTTGTCTGTTACTGAACTGTACAGGCTTACATGCTGCAACAGCATGTTATGATGTGGGGAACTCCTGCTGAGGGTTCCAGTCAGGAAGCCATGAACATCCTTCCAGTATAATGATCTCCATTCTTCCTCCCTTCCCACATGTTCCTGCCTCTATCCTGAAGGGATTCTTAGAATACCGCAAGTACTAAGCAATCTCAGACCTCCTTATTGGGTTATTTTTGGTTGTCCTCATTTACTGTTTATTTTTTTGCCCTTCTGCAGACCACAGAATTCCTGCACAGCCATTAATAATTCTCACTTGCTGATGCTTTGGCTACATCAGGCACTTGGAGAATGAGTTCAGTGTGAGTACATTGTAAATACATTGTAAATACTGCAGGTATTCCATGATTTTACATACCCGAGTGACCAGCACGCATTGAAGAGTCCAGATATCAGCCCTAACAAACTTAACCCTTCCTCAAATCCATTTTCACTGCAGAATGAAAGACAAATAGGTTACTTCCAAAGATACATACAAATGGGGGAGGGGGGCACCAGCTCCCTCTCCTCCATCTCTTGGTTTCCCTGAAGAATGAATATGTTAACTAAGCTTTGCCTCTTAAGCATGTTCCCAGTGTCTACTGAACCACACCTCATCCTGTGTCAAATCATGGCTATGGCAAGTGGAAAGGTTCACACCAACGACCAAGTGAGTGAGAGAGAGGACCAATTACCTTGTGATTTCAATAGAGACATTGATAGGGTTCGTATGCCACAAATAACTGTTGATAATGAAGGGGAACATGGTTCGGTTTCAAGCCTAAATCGTTCCTCTCCCAACAGCCAGGATGTGCTGGTTTCGACATCCTAAAAAACAGCCCAGGAAGGGAGGATGCAGGGCATGGCAGAGACAGTTGGGAGGCAGGATGCTTACCTGTGCCCGCCTTTTCACAGCTACTCGGGTTGCATAACTATGATGTGCACACTAGGCTATTGTCTTAATTCACAGTTTGTCTTAAACCACTACTTTGCATATTTAAAACAAACCTGCCACAGTTTCATGGTGAATTATGTCGACTACTAATGAACCAAAGGCTCCTGGTTACCTTGCAATGAACTGTGATCAAAGATTAAAATGGGATAAAAGTTTACCAAGAAAGGATCACTTACTATGCAGTAGAGAGTACCTCTGGGAATAGTGGCATGAGGCTCATCCCAAGTGAAAAGCCAATCAGGACCAATGTTAGTACAAAGAGCCAAAGTTTGCTGAAAAGTAAAGATGAGTTAAAATTAGCTAAGGAAAAGTTACAACACTTCATCACAATTTTCCTTCACCTGTAATGGAGTGCTGCATTGTTTATGACTACAGCATATTAATAAATGATGGTGTTCCTCACAATAGTCCACACTGGCTGGGGCTGATGGGAGTTGAAGTCTAGAACAGCTGGGAAGCACAGATGGGAAGGTTGGTCCACACTACACTTTTGGGAAAGAGACTGCCAGTGCTAACTGCCAAAGGAAGCTGACAAAATACTGGCCAGAGGGCACCCAGCACGTTGGAATTCACACTTCCATTGCACTTTTTTCCAGTTTGAAAGAGATCCTTGTATTTTGCCACAGAGTAGAAAAGATAGAAGGTGAGCATTCCAGACTTGGGACTGAGGAGCCTGAGTTTGCATCAACATGTGTTCCAGCGACTAACAGCATATGGGGTGGGCCCAGGAAGCAGGAATCAAGAGTTTGGGGGAAAGGAAACATGCTTCTCCCCCACCTTGTTGGAAAGGCAACAGCTCAGTGGCAGAACGCATGGTTTGTATGCAAAAAGGATGAGTCACTGCTGGGAATTTTCAATCTTTGCTTCTTTGCAAGCATTAAAGCAAACCTGGGATACAAATGAGATACACGCGTATGTCTAGATGAGTGTGTCTGTGTGTGTGCACGCACGTGCGAAATTAGCGCTGTCCCTAAGCATCCCCCCATTCAAAGATGGAAATGGGGCAGAGAAAAAACCATAATGGAGTTTGCTAACACTCTTGCTTGCTGCAGTGTGAAGGCTACTTTATACAAGATGGCAAAATACACCATGGCACAAAAGCTGGGTATTTAGGAGCATAGCACACATGCCCACTGCTATTTATTTCTTGATAAGTATGAAGGATGCAGGAGGAGCAAGTTTTCAATCTTTGAGAAGTAAAAGAAGCATACAGTTACCTGTCAATGTGCAAGATGGGAGCTGGTCCCAGGAAAAAATAGCACAGTGATGCCAGAAAGCTTCCAAGGACCAACAGCCACTTTCTTAAATGCTGCAAGAGACAGAAACTTACATTTCACTGTCACCAAAATATCTTAACAGCAGCTCTATTTTATTCAAGTTTCAGTTAACACAACTGGGAAGAAAAGTGAAGATTTGGAAAATTTTACCTCATTCACTGCAGAGTAGAAGCATGAATTTCAGAAGCCTTATAACTAATGGGGCAGGGGGAAAGTCCAATAAATAAACAAACAGGATGTAGGAATAACACCTGGTATCAAAAAAGCTTAAAATCCAGCCTCATATTTTGAGATGTCCTTTGGTTTTCAAATGTTTATCCTAGAGGGGTTTCGAGCTTTCTACCTTTTCCCTGAACGCTTTCTACATTGATCAGAAGCAGAAGTAGTAATTACCTATATTCATTAAAATATGGGGAAATCGTATTTTTTTTAAAAAAATATGGCATCTAAAACTATTTGTTACCTGTTGCTGTTCTGTTGGGTGGGTGCACCATAGAATATGGCACTACCACAGGAAAAAAACCTAACACCAGTCACCCCCTGTTCCAGTCACTCATCACCAGTCACCCATCCTCTCCAAAGGTTGGTGCAGAGTGTAAAGGACCTCTATAGCTGATCAACATCTGTGCAAGTTCCTACTGTTCAGACAGGATTAGGCCAAACTTTGGTTTTGCAATATAACATCCAATGGTTTGCCTCATCTTTCCTCAACCTGGTGAGGCTCCAACTCCCATCAGCCTCAATCAGCATATCCAAAGGTCTGGAATGATGGAAATTGAATTCAAAAACATGGGAAGGACACCAGCTTGGAGGCAGCTGCCTTGTGCCAAGTTGCCCTTCTATGGTTTTATCTGGGCTTGTTCCATTCACGGAAGAGATTCTAGTCTGAACAAGGTTCCTGTTGGCCCAAGTGGGAGGGAAAGCAATTTCTGGATTCATAGGGGGCTACAGTGGGAAAAGATTAAGCTGAGTGTTTTTCATCTGCGGGAATATCCTATGAGAAGAACTTGGCTCCAAGCTATTTTTAAAAAACAGTAATCTATATATTAAGAGCTGAAACTGTTTATCCACTACTCTTATGGGCAGTAATCCAAGGTTTCAGACAAAGACCTTCCCAGGCTCACAACTCAGGAATGAACCTGGGGCCAGACCTCCCACTCAAAAAGCATGTGCTCTGCCACTGGGCTGTGGTCCCATCCCGTCATGAGACCTACTAAGAGAGGTTATACTGTTCTCCAGCTGCTGGGCGGTCTGCACTGGTTATCTCTTGGCAGAAGTGGATAAACCAAAGAGCACCCCACAGAACATCATACCATAGTGGGCCTGCGGAATGTGGGTGTTTCCTCCTTGGGAATTTCGTCAACCCTCTGAAGCATATCAGATCTTAATACTGTAGCACTGAAACTGACACTGCTGACTCTCTGGAGAGCAAATGTGGGTTTAGTGGTTAAGAGGGTTGGGAGAGGGACTTGGGAGAATGGATTTCTAGTCCCCACTCAGCTCTGAAACTCAGTGGATGACTTTGGGCCAGTTTCTGACTTTCAACCTGTCCTACTTCATAGGGTTGTACAAGAACTGTACAAGCCACCTTGGGTTCCTTACAAGAGGAAAAAAAACAGGATGCAAATATAATAAAAAAGGAACAAACAAAACAATACATAAGTGAATAAGCATATTATTTAAAATAAAGGAGAGGGAATGTATACTTACCGGCATTTTATCACTTAGAAAACCAAGCAGTGGTGAAGACAAGGAATAAGATAGTGCTAACCCCAGGAAGACTAATCCGACGTAGCCAGCTGGCAATTTGAACTACAGAAAAAAGCAACATTTTGATTATCCCATTGAAAAAGCATCTTCAGTTAGTTTATTAAATTCTACTGGTCCAGTCTTGTTACTCTGATCTAATACACCAAAAACCAAGATGGTCTTATTCATTTCAACAAAAAAGACAAAGCCAAGCATGTAGAAGCAAATCCGTATGACTCTGGTGTTAGCACTTGGAAGTTTTAGGATGCTTGATAACCAGAACTGCTTGGCTTCTCCTTGCGGGTATAAAAGAATTGTTCTGTTTAAGATGCAATCCTATACGTGTCAAGACAGAAAAGGGTCCTACAAAACTACAAAAGTTGTAGGAGTTCTGTCTCAATATGTGTAGGCCTGCACTTTCCACATTCCTTCCTCAGCTTTCCTCTGCCCTTAAAGCTACAAGACAGGATGAAAAGATTGGAGAAGCAGGTCCTATTTAGCCTCTCATTTCCAGAAATGCCAGTGACATGGGAGGTTGGTTGGTAAAATGTATGCCAGTCAGCATACATGATGTTCATGCAACAGAGGAAAGCTGTTCCCAAAAGACCACACACCCCAGAACAGAAGAAAAGGGAAGATGCTACCACTCTTCCTCCCTCCCTGTGCAAGCTGTAAGTTCATCTTGCTTTGAATCTCCCTTGCAGAATTGCACAGCCTGACTGGGTCTGTCCCCACAATATCACCTACCTTTTTCAAGACAAACAGTGACATCGTGGGATCGAGAAAGCCTAAACTTCCACTTAATGAAAACATAGTCAGACACAGGAGTAGGACTTTTGGTAAGAGCGTAAGCTTCCAGAATGAATCTTTGCTTGGAACTGCATCTGTGGCAAGACAAAACAGGAAAGTGTAACCCCTTTGGAAAATGTGCTGGGCTAAAGCACCATCAGTGTTTGCCGTCCTTCACACATACCTTGTCCCAATGCCACCTTCAATCAGACAGCCTTCCCAGGCTTTTAAAACACTACTAAAACCTGCAGAATTTATTTATCAGGGAGGCTTGGGATAGAGATGGCAGCCAAAGATGCCTTTATTATATAGTTTTCAACAGTCCAAAAATGCTACTTTTAGCTTCAGCTTCAGAAAATCATTTAGGAAAGTAAGTAATTCCTGAACATTAGAGGCCACCCCCTGCAGCACTCTTGTCACTGTGCTTCCCCGTCAGATGTGCCTGCACCCCCCACCCCTGTGCCCCTCACAGAGAGTGGCTTTCTCTGCTTTCAGTGACACAGAAGAGTCAATGCAGGAAAAGGGCCAACAGCACTTAAGCCCATGAGAATATCACAGTTTTCCCAACCGTGGTGTTCTCCAAGATAAAAGCTACTGTTACTTTTTCCCATGTGTTTTTATTCTATTTCAGAAAGTACCTTAGAAAAAGAGAAAAGAAATATATAGAAAAAGATGCCAAGGAATATTCCACAAATAGCATGCAATTTCATTATCTGAACACGTTTGTAAAAAGTAGAGAATTGAAGCTGTGGTCACATTTAAATTGTTCAACTCTTAATCAAAGATTAATCTAGTTGATAAAAGTAATTGTGAATTATTTCTTGGCTTTCGAATAAAAATCACCAACATTCTAAGGATTCTATTTTCTTTAGCATTAACTACATTGCTCATAATAAGCTTTCCATCTTTCAATGAGTGCTTTAGCTAGTCTTCTATTAATATAATTAGTTTCGCCATTGTTGCATACTCATCTAACCAATTTTTCCAATCTTTGACAGTTGGAAAAAGCTACTGTTACTGATTTAGTGAAAACATGATGTTAACAAGCAGATTTCAAACAACACTAATGAATACACACACACTCACATGCACATACAGAGATTTGGTAGTAGGATATTTTACACAGTCTCATTCTAACACTATAATTGTACATTTATGTGAACAACAGGATCCAAGAAAGGAACTACTTAGAGGACAATTAAAGTACACAAACCAAGTTTGCCATGTTCTGTCTGGGCTGACAGAGGAAGATGTTGAGAGAAATCTACCTACCGTAACTTGGCAAGAGGTACATGTTCAGAGGCACCATGAGTAGCACTAAACATCCAAGTGCAATAAAAGGGACCTCGTAGCCAAATGTCTGGTACAAAAAGCCACCAATAGGTGGGCCCAACACCAATCCAAGTCCAGTAAAAATTTCAAGGATGCCCTAGAAAGATTCAAAAGGCAGCAATGTGGTCAAATCAGATGGCCATCATGGCCTGGCAGAACAACTAAAAATTGCAGCAAAGCATTAATGGGTCCTAGTTCAAAGCAAGTCAGAACTTTCCCTGGAAGCAAAACTGACAAAACTGGGGCTGTTGTACTTTGGACACACATGAGAAGGCAAGACTCACTGGAGGAGGTCTTCATGCTAGGGAAAGGCAAAGGCAAAGGAAGAAAAGGAGGAGTCCATAATTGACTCCATAAAGGAAGCTGCAGTCTTGAATGTATAACAGCTAAGCAGGGATATCATGGCTAGGACATTTTGGAGGGCTTTCAGTCATAAAGTCATTGTAAGTTGAAGACAACTCGAGAGCACTTTAACAACATCAACCCTTTCTGTTAAAATAAGTAAGTAGCAATAATATGAAAATTGCCTCTACATAGATCTAGTGTATAAAGTGCTGCATGGTTGCATCCAGATTGGACTGCTGGGCAATCTAGGCCTTTAAAGGAGGTTTAAAAGCTTCACCTGGCACAGAATGCAGCTGCTTGGTAGCTTGTGGAGCAAAGCAAACGGGCACGTGTAACGTGGATTCTATACCAGCTACAGGGTTTGCAAATGCATTTCCAGGTATATATCTAAAAAGATGGTAGTTACCGGTGGGGTGGGGTGGAAGGCAGAGAAAACATGTGGTCTTGCCTTTTCTTTGCAAACCCCACTGCTAAATTTGGCACTGAAATGTGCCAAGGCAGTAAAACAGAGTTCATTTCTCTTCAAAAGTAAGTTCCTGTGGTCTAATATAGATAAAACCATACTGCTATTTAGTCTCACTTGCTCGAACTCATTGTCCATTAGTACTGAAAGGTCAGCTCTTCAAGTAACAGCATTTCCTTTTATGTAATTAGTTGGGTGTGTTTTCCATACAAAATCAAAATATCATTAATTTTATTTATTGTATTATATCCTGTCTTTTTTTCCTTTCAAGGAACTCAAGGCAGCTTACATGAATCTCTTCCTCCTCCTCTCCATCTTATCCTCATGACAGCAGTCCTGTGAGGTAGGCTGGGCTGAAAGTCTGTAACTGGCACGAAGTCATCCAGTGGCTCCATGGCTGAATGGCAACTAAAGCTCAGCTCGCCTGAGTTCCAGTCCTACACTCTTAGCCACTACACCACACTGGCTCCCATGGCTTCATCAACTCTTTCCAGATGAAATGTCCTCTAAAACATAAGGCTATGGTTGTCCTCAGGGGATAATGTGAACCTCCCATTCTGTATGAGGACATCAGGCAATCCTCAGGATGCCATCTTACCTACTGATGTATGTATGTACTTTGATCCGCCACCAGCGACCAACACAGCCAAAGTGTGTCATCTTGAAATCAATGAAAGCAAAATAAAGGCAGTGTCCTCTATTGAAACACTGCATAGCCCCCTTCCTTCCTCTAAGACATATGGGAAAGAATACCAACACACTGCATCCCATATGGCTGAATGAGCAAGATTTTGGTGGTTCTTGATTTACACACTGGATCAACCACAGTGACAGAGCTCCTAGGAAATACTACATGGAGAATCTGTAGAAGCCTGAGATTGTTAAGCAAAAGGAAGATCCTGGATCCAGTCTACTGTCACGTGTGTGCAGTGGTGAAGGTTTTCTTTCATACACCAGAGAGAATAGAGGAAAAGAAGGCTGACAATTCTCTGACTGACTAGCTAAAGAGCAGGTAAAAGTCTGTTTGTGTTGCCCTTTGCTCAGTCTTCTTATCTCAGCTTCTTCTCTTGGCCTTCATTTGCTACCGAAAGGAAAAACAGAACAGGCAAACAATATCCCAAAGGGGGTTTTCTCCTGTCTCAGAAATCAGATCTCCTGGGCTGGAAGGCTGGAAGGCTGGAAGGCTGGGAGGAAGGGAGGAAGGGAGGAAGGGAGGAAGGGAGGAAGGGAGGAAGGGAGGAAGGAAGGAAGGAAGGAAGGAAGGAAGGAAGGGTTTTCGCAGACCAAACTGGACTGCTTTGATGTAGGAGAGAAGATAATAGTATTCTCTGGGTTGAAGCCTAATATTGACAAGAGTCCTGTGCCCAATACAGCTGGGACGGGGACAGAGGAACGGAGTGCCTCCACGAAAGCTTCCTTCCCACAAGTCTCTGAACTCCTTTGCAAGGGGAGGACAGAGAGCTGTGCAGCAAGGGATTGCTAGAAGAGAGCAGACTGTTCCTAGAAAGGAGAGGGGAGAGAAAACCAGGAGAGGATTGTTCCAGTTAAGGACTGCATTCTCCATCATAAACTACACTGACAGAGGGTGCTGAGACAGTGCTTGATTTTGAACAGTAGAGATGCTCAGCTGGGTGACAGTCATGCCATGTACACTGTCAAAGAGCCAAATTACACAATGCATTAAAGCTGTGGTTGAATTTAAGATGTTTGGGTGTCATTGGGGTTTGCCACTTGCTCTGTACAGTGCTACCACTTTTACCTTTCAGTTACAAGGGAAAGTTTACAGATATTGGGGGTTCCCAAAGCCCAAATCATTTTTTTATACATACCAGAACTGTAGCGATGTTGTTGGGAAAAGCCTTTGCAAGAATAGAAAATGAGGCGGTCATCGCTGCAGCAAAACCAATGGCATCCACTGCCCGTACCAAAAAACACAGGCCTATGAATACTGGCCCATTAGGTGCTCTGTCCAACATCCTAAAAACAAAGATACAATCAAATCGGCTCTGTCGCTCCTTAGGTACATCTGTGCATGCACGCACCGTGCTCTTGTATAATAGATACATGACCTCATTTTATCTGGTGAAAGGTACATAGCTATTGTTTTTGATAGGGGTTGGAGATTTTTTTATTTTCTGGGAGTCTTAGTGGTATTGTGATTAAGAGTGCTAGACTGGGACTCCAGAGATCTGGATTTTGGTCCGGGATCAGTAAACAAAGTGGGTGTCTTTGGGCCACTGCTTCTTGGCTCAGCCTAACTCACAGGGTTGTTGTGAGCATAAAATGGGGAGGATTCCTTGCAAGAAGAAAGGCACTCTAAAGAATGATTTCAAAAAATCCCTGATGGCACTTCGAGGAAACATGCCAGCGGAAGGGAACTTCTTTCCTCTTTCCCCCTTTTCTTTCTCCCGCTCTTGCTTCCCGCCTGGCTTGGTGTCCTGGGATGACACTCAGCTTGACCTCCCATTTTCATCTAACCCGGGTGAGGCTGTGACTGTCCTGAGCCAGTGCCTTGGCTTGGTATTGGACTGGATGAGGGCCAGTAAGGTGAAGCTCAATCCCGACAAGGTGGATGTTCTGTTGGTGGGCAGTCTGTCCAACTGGGAAATTTTCAACGAATCCTGGATGGCGCTGCGAGTCCCCTAAAGGATCAGGTTTGTAGCTTGGGGATGCTCCTGGACCCTGAGCTCTCGTTTCTCGGGTGGCCTTGGTGGCCAGGAGCACCTTCTATCAGCTTGAGCTGATTTTCCAGCTACATTGCTGCTTGGATGAGCGGAGCCTCGCCAGTTATCCATGCGCTGGTAACCTCTCACTTGGATTTCTGTGATGCGCTCTGTATGGGGCTGCCTTTGAAGATGGTCCAGGCACTTCAATTAATTTGAAACAGAGCAGCATGGTTACTAACAAGGACTGGCCCTAGAGAACATATCATGCCGGTCCTGCACCAACTGCACTGGCTGCCTGTCATTGCCCGGGCCAGCTCAAAGTGCTCACACTAACATATAAAGCCTTAAACAGCTTGGGACCGGGATATCTAAAGGATCGCCTGTCTCCATTTATCCCTACCAGACCACTCAGGTCACCAATGGAAGCCCTCCTTCATGACCTCCCCCCAGATGTTGTGAGCTGCCCCGAGGCTTCGGCGAATGAGGCGGCATAGAAATGTTTTAATAAATAATAAATAAATAAATAAATAAAATGAGGTGGGCTGGGAAATTGGCAAGGAAAGGGGTCTTCCCAGTTGCCGCATCTCACCTTTGGAATTCCCTCCCAAGGGAGATGTAACTGGCACCCACTTTACCTTGCTTTTGGCACCAACTTACAACTTTGTAATTTAGTAGCTATTTTTAGATTATGACTATTGACCTTGCTGCTGGTTTGTTTTATTCTTTGATGTTTTATTGTTTATACTGAGTTTATCCTCCTGTTGTAGTTACATTGTATTTTTATTCTATTATGGTTTATAGTTTTAGTTATTATTGTCAATTATTTTTATCTGTATTTTCTATTTTTATTCTGTATCATTGCTGTGAGCTGCCCAGAGAACCTTCTTGCTCTGGGGTAGCATACAAATGCAACAAATAAATTATATAAATTAAGAATGGATTTTATGGTTTTAATATTTATATGGAAACAAGATAGGGATTTTTAGAAAATGTTTATAGAAACAGTAGAAATAAATAAATAAATCTTTTGTATTCTTTTGAACCAAACAGTTGTTGAAGAAAGTTGTACTATGCTCACTTGTACTGAGGTTAGATTTACATGGTGAAAGACAGTAACTTGCATTTCCAGCCATCCAGCCACAATCAAAAATATGAAAGTACAGACCAATGTTACATCCTGCTGAATGAATAAAATTTAGGAGAACTGTAGATGTTTAGATACTACAGCTTATTATAAGAAGGGGTAGAGAAAAGCTCCTAGAAAAGAATAAACTACCCCAAGTTTGCCAATTTTTTGGTCTCAGGAACAGAATTATTGCCTGGTAGAAAGCAATCAAAACCATTTTCACTATGTGGAAACCAATCACATAAAATAAAATGGGTTTCTAAAGAAAAGGAAAAGAAAAGAAAAGAAAAGAAAAGAAAAGAAAAGAAAAGAAAAAGAAAAAGAAAAAGTAAAAAGAAAAGGGAAGAGAGAAATATCTATATAAGATATATATACTCACCCAAAAAGAATTGTAACCCATCCTGAGACAAACATTCCAGCGACTAACATAAACTTGGCTCCAATTTGTACAAGCTGCAATTATTGAGCAAAAATATTAAATTTAGCAGTTTCCTATCAAAAAACTGAATGAAGTTATACTACTGAAATCTACTAATTTCTTTTCAGTTTAAAAGAAAGAAAAAAAATGAGCTTAACTTCTCCCCACCCCACCGACTTACATCTAGCACATTATCACACCTAAAAATATTCTAAATGGATAAGTGAATTAACCTAGTTTCGCCATGGCAAGTAAATTGGTGCAATTAACTGTTTCAACACTCTTTGCTATCAGTACCCCTGATAATATAAATGAAGCTTCACATTCTGCTACTAGCATCACTACTGTGCTTTGGACCGAGGCACAGAAGGACAGCAATGAAGTGCATGTCAGGGCACACCTGTCATGTTCCAAGGTCGCTTCAACTACCTGGAAAGTTTTAAGTTCACATGAAAGCTCCTGGCTGCAAGAAAGAAACTGAATGTATAACAGCCAATATCAGCTAGAGAAGATATTGGAAGAGACATTTAAAATTGTTGGAACTGGAGTATTATTTATCTTTTATTAAAAATATGGATTTCTTAACTTAGAAAAATAGCTGATAAGAGACATAGGATGGACTGATGTTTAAGCTTATATGTTCTCTGGATGGCTTATTGATCAAGACAGATAAATTGTTTAAAATACAAAATGTCATAATTGAAAAGAAGAGCAGTGTAGTACTCTTTTCTAACAGAGACAGCACAAAATCATTAACATTTCAGATTTTTAAAAAAGTTACAACACTGTGTGCCCAAGGAGAATTCAAAAAGATAAGAGGCATCGGAAGCCACCTCATACCAAACCAGGCCACTGGTCCATCTGGTACACATTCTTAACATTCACTGGCAGAAGGTTTCAGGCAACATGGAGACCGACCCTGGAACCTTCAGGGTTTCTCCCCACCTGGAGATTGAACCTGGACCCTTCAAGCAAAGCCTGCATTTTACCACTGGCCTCTGCCCTCTCCCCTTAACTGTCTTTACCTGGCACCCAACAGACCATGAAGGCAACAACAGTCAAGGCTATTCCACTGCTAGGGTGCCATCACCAAGAATGCCCTCTCTTTAGTAGTCATCTACTTCACAAGGGCACAGCCACCAAGCAGACCCCACTTTGGCTAGTTGTGTGTAGGTGGGAACTGCGTCTGGTTGCAAGGCATTTAGGACTTTAAACTTTAAAGTCAAAACTTTAAATTGGGTCAGAGAAATGGACTGGGACCCAGGCAGAGCTCATAAAGCATTGTCATAATAGGATCAAAGCACCTAGTCTCTACTAATAACAATGAGACTACATTTTGAACCATGTGCAGCTTATGGGTCATTTTTAAAGCTATCTAGTCATGTGTTGTGTACAGAGGGTTTGACAAGAGGTTTCAGTGACCAAAATACAATAATCAAAAAATCTGAATAGCAACATTTTAAAATAAAGTATAACAAAAGTCCTTTTTGTACGGTGCAGAGGAAAACCACTTTGGCTGGAAACATCCAATTTGAGCATTTATGCCATCCAGTAATGTGTTGGCATATGCTGGGAGTTGTAGTCCAAAGATCCCGAGGACACCAGCTTGTAGAAGGCTATATTCCTAGACCGTAGTGCAGTAACTCAGATGGGTCCTTTGTTTCCCCAATATAAGTGACAACAAAGATCTGTTTGTTTGAGTTATGTTGTGAGTTGTACGTAAGAACAACTGTGTTACTTCTTCTTCTTGAAGAATTCCCCCATAAACCATAACAGGGCTGCCCATTTAGCATGGAGTTTGCTTTTCCTTATGGACATATCTTACAAAGTAACAACTCAGAGTGTATGTCTAATTGCTTTAAATTAATTTAATTTAATTTTTCAAAACCTCCTTGAAGCTTTCCTTTTAATCAGTTCCAAAGCTTTAGCAACTGATTTGTGGTAGCCACCCTTCCAAGAAAAGGTCAACAGAACACTATGTTTCATTGCACAATTCTTTCATTGTCTTCTACACAATTCAAGATACTGGTTTTAAGCCAGAGAGATCTAAATTGCTTGGATGCTGCATTTTTTGGAGATCATCTTTGCCCTTTTAACCCATCATGCCACCAAAAACATCCTCTAAATTAGTTAATCTCTTAACAAATCCATACAGCACACATACTCTGGAAGGTACTTTGGACAGCTACTCCATACTTGTGAAAAACACTTTCTTTTGAAATATGAAAAAGCATGTTAAGCTTGATAATTTTTTGTAAGTACTTTGTGTGGCTGTGCTTGGCCAGGAAGTAAGGACACAGCAATACAATTTCCACTTGAGTTCTCTGAAATACGCTGAATCTTTGCATAGATATTATGGCAGATTTTGACAATACTTACATACTTTCCCATTATCAAAGAAGACAAGAAGTTGATTAACGCAAAGCATCCAAAAATCAGTCCAACTATTGTAGTATTGGCACCTTTGTTTTCTGCCTAGAAAAACATCCAAGCATAAAGACTCAGAAGAACACGAAAGATGATGGAATGCAGAAAATAGTTACAGGGCTTAAACTTTATACAGTGTTGCTAAAGGGTCATGGACTTTCAATGCAGAACTATTCCTTAATGTCAGGAATGTGGTCCAGCAAAGTCAAAGATGATGAAACACTGCCACAGATCATCTGCATGGTGCTAAACAATACTCACAGCTCATGTTCTGCAAACCTACTAGTCTCTACTTCAGTGTACCAAAAATCAGTAAAGTCACATGGAGGAGGCTCTGTATTGCTAGTTTTCAAAGAGGATGTGCTGTGCAGTCTCACAATGAGGCAGGAGATAACAAAAAGCCATGTGCCTCATACCTGCTCCATGTCCTATTCTGCATACGTGGATTTCACAGCTGATTCCCATGCTGTATTTTAAATATAAGGGTGCACTTAAGTGGATAACACCCATATGTAAAAGAACAGAAATTTAAATCTGAGGAAAGATGCTGCTGTGATGGGAATTTGGATATAGATCTAAAGTTCTTAAGTTCTCAATTCAAGTATTATACATGAAAACTTACCGCAAAAACACACTGCTCAATATTTTTTTAATGAGAGAAAATACTCAGACTTCATTAGAAGCTTTACTCTGTTTTATTTTTTAAGATTTATATATCACTGTATGTATTTTTTCAAACAGCCTAAATGGCATAATATACAAGTTCTCCTCAATACTCCCAAATACATATAGAGATTACACACATTCATATTCTTTACAAAGCATGCATCCTGGAATTTCTGGGGATGCTTCCAAAACAGGCTTTTATTTTGCAAACAGAAAAAAAAATCTGGAGCTGAGGGAACAGACATATTCGCACAAAAGAAAACAGCACTGGATCAAAGTATTGGAGCAAGAGATTTCTGATTTCTGTGTGTCCTACAACAGTATGTGTGGCCTTCATGAATAAGAGAGGGAGGTCAGTTGGGTATAATACTCTCTAAAAGCCAAGTGATGTAACTATGCTAAGCTGTTCAAGAGAGCTAGCAAAAAACTTAGTATGCATACCCTTTCACTTTTTAAAAAGGAGTAAGTTAGGAAACTGGATAAATGTTTGGAAGATAATGCTACAACAGGAATACATCACTTCCAGCAAGTGTCTCTAGATTAACTTGCCTAAAAGAGTCATACACCAAGCAGGGAGTTCCATTATGTTCCTTTAATCATGCAATTTCAGCAAAACATCAGCTTCTTCCAGCAACTACTTGCAGAATGCATGTTCTGAGACAGATTTCTTCATATTCAAAGTATAGGTTGTTACAAGGGTTGATGTGACATACGTTGTTAGACAATTCCAAAACAGGATTTTGGTTTTTAAGGCAATGCGTCCACTTACCTCTCTTGGAAAGAAGGGTCCTAGGATTGAATAACAAATCATTGAACAGAAGTTGATTGACGCTGTCGCTACCAAACTAAACATCTGCTCTTTGCTGAGCCTTCTGGGTTCTTCATTGGCAGCCTGTGGCCTGTCATTGCCTTAACAGTTAAAAACAAACTTAAAAAATAAAAGGCAAAACAGTCTTCAATTTTAGAAGCAGTAAGCAAAGCTTGCAAAGATTTCAGCTGGTAAAGAAATAGCAGAACAAATCCAGTTCCTACTTGAACCTAAAATACAACTGTCTCAGTCACCCATGTGCTCTGTCCACACAAGCCTTACAGTTTACATACCAAGTTTACAAATAAACTGTAGAGGACTTTGTGAAGAAATTGACAAAGTTATAAAGTACAATCATTGGCAACATTTAGTAAAGCCTGAGAAAATTCTGATCGTGCAGTGATTATCTCAAAAATCTGACTAATGGCACAATCAAGAACATGAAGATTAGAATCTATACCCTGATATGGTACAGAATTTTGAAATCCATTCTAAAGATATTTCCTTAAAAGCAGTTAATAGATGGGTTTCTGATCCGAAAATTGGTGCTGAAGCTTGTGTTAGACAACACTGTCATATTTAGTAGAATTCAAAGGACCTGATTTACAAATATGCATTGTAATTCCAGACAAGTTTACTCAGAAGTAACTCCACCTAAGTTCAATGGAGCTTACTTTTTAGTAAGTAACTAGGGTTTCAGCTTTTCACAGTTGTTTCATTTTGGAAACTTTTAATGAAATAACAAAAATTCTGAGCAGCCACAGGTAGGCTTGAGTAGGTACGATACTGCTTTACAGGTTCAAAGGGATATAGGAATAGAGTAGTCAAAGGATTTTTTCTGTTTGGATGACTAATGTTGCAATCTATTTATTTTTGGCCTAACCCTGCTTTTAATAAGGGAAGAGGATTAGAACTGAAACACCGGGGCACAACTCATTCAGAGACAGAACAAAAGTCACTCCTTCCTCATGTCCAAAATTTCCAGGTGTCTTCATCAAGCTAAATGTTTAAAAAAATAAAACTTGGGAGAAGGGACAATAGGAGAAACATGGTGAAGTCACATCTTTTGCAAGTTTGGACAAGTCCCAGGCGGAGGAGCAATTTGCAGGTCAAATAGTGAGAATCATCCTGCAATCATGTTGCTAGTACCATATGAGTAATGACTCTATAGGGAACAGGGGAGGGATACATGTACCTCAAAGGGAGCAAGATAAATCTGCTCAGAGTTCACATTATAAATAATGAAAAGTTATAAACTAGACCCAATCAGACATACAGCTTCTGTATAAACATGAAATGTCACTGTAGGGTAAGTAGACAGACTGTGGACCAGCACTGAAAGACATGGGGTTTGAGCTCCACTGGGTAAACTTGGTTTAGGTAGTGTCTCCTTGGCCAGCCTACCTCACAGGATTGTTATGAGGAGACAGTGGAGAAAGACCATGTATACAACCTTGAATTTCTTGGAGGAATGCTGGAACGTAAATGTAATGGACACACACAGGATTGTACTACCTAATAACAGCACATCTTAATGCCCTTAATGTAAGGGAGTGTCCATAAGATTGCGGCCTTTGTCAGGAGTTTGTTCAGGACAAAATAGGAGGGAAGGCAAATGAACTTCATTATATAACTTCAGGTTAATGAAATTAAAAAAAAAAAAGTCTGGCTAAAACACAGGAGCTTCCTAGCTTCAGTTGCACGAGGTTGCATCACCTCATACACTATAATTAAGACTAATTACCACTCTTTGCTCCAGAAAGATTAGAAAACCCACTTAACTTCTTCACAAGAGAGGGATTAGAGCCTGTCCACTTTTTCCACAATCATCCCATTTACAAGCTACTGGTGAACTACTTGCTGAGGGAAAATTTAGGGAGTAAGCCGCCCAGAAACCAGCTGGACTTCTTCAAGAGAAAATGGGTTTAAGATCGAGCGGCAGGTGATCCCAAGTTCACGTCATTAAGCAGACTGGGGGTGCGGGGAAAGCCCCTGGAAACCCACCTGGAAACTCACCGGTCTCTAGACTCGCCGCTTCGTGGCTGCCCATAGCGAAGAAACGGGATGCTGCAGGCTTCGACCGACACAGCTACTTCCTTCCCGGCTTGTCCTCTATAATAGCATTCGGGTCCGATCTCAGCGCAGAGGGCAAAGCCAGGGCGCGGGTGGCTTCAGGCGATGCTACTGGGCATGTTCAGTCCGGAAAATGCTGCCGTGGAAGGAGATCGCACTGCGCCGCAAGGAGCAAAACGACCTCCGAGACTCAAGGCAGAGTCCGACCGGGGGCTCGGCAGGCGTCACTTCTTTGGTTAAAGACTGCATCGGAAGTTGCCTTCTCCAGAAAACTTTAAACCCTCACCCCGAGTTCATTTGCTTGTTGCCCTTAAAGGTGTATAATATGCCTTTTCTTGTTGGGTTGGTTGAGCAATGATGAGTAATTTACTGCAATGGTTTGAGATATGAGGGGCAGAACTACGTACGAGTTGGCGGCAGAGCAAATTTTGGGTGAACACGTGTCCTTTAAGCACGGACTTTTCTTCTTGCGGGGAGGGCGAAGTCAAAGGGACTCGGAAGGACTTCGATTACAATGGGTTGCAGCTCTATTTTACACAAGACGTTGCTGGATCTTTCAGCAAGCCCTATATCCAGAAGCTCATTTAGAGCAGTTTCGGCCTGGATTCGGGGCTAAAGTCCCTGGTATAAGCAACGGATCGCTGTGCCTTTCATTCCAGAGGCCATCCGAAATTCACGGCTATGGTTTAGTTCTGGGATATTCAAAAGGTCGGCCGCTTTATTTATTTATTATACTTATAACTGTCAAGTAGTTAGACTCTTTAGGCAGCATACAATAGCAAAATTACAACTAGACAAGTAAAACCATCATTAAAATATAAATGAAGTGATGATAATAATATGACCAAGATCATTCAAAAAACATGTCCAGGTGAAATGGACAGCTGAATTTAAAATTACAATAAAATTAATAAGCATATAAAATCCATTATTAGAATAAATCATTAAAATTATTATAAGCAAGGGAAGTTTAGTAATCTTGCATGATGACGATGGCCACAAACTGTAAAAAGTTATCATAAAGCTGAAAAGGACTATATTCTAAGTTTTTCTTACGAGTGAAAATTTCCATCTGATTTCAGACAACATGTTCTAATCAATGAACTGACAGTTGCACAATGTGGATTATTGTATTGCCTAACCCAGCTGTACTAACAAGCCATAATTTAAGCTAATGATGAATTGCAGGTTGTTCATAGTTAACAAGCCATGATTTGGCAGCACAACTCGGTTCAAGAGAATACAATACAATAACCCATGTTTCAAAAACCCATACTCTACCTTCCAGTGGATTATTGTGCTATTGGAACCCAACCTAAGTGTGCATCTAACCCTTTCTAGCCCGGAAAAATAAAATTTTAAAACAATCTGGACGTTTTAATATTTTCTTAATATTTTAATCTTACATAAACAGTGTAATAACCTGCTTTGCTAGGGAAAGCTGAAATATATATTGAACAATTCTAAAAGCCATATCAGAAGATGAAAAGCTTCACTGTTGTTGTTTTTCCATTGCCCAGGAGCCAAAACCTTTTGGATATTCAAAGGTAACTATTAAAAACTATTGGCTATTCCTGAAGAAAAGCAGTCCTTTAATCAATTGAGACTGTTTAATTAACCAATGGAGCCTTAGTTCTGGGCTCACTGTTACTAATATGTATTAGAATCCACAGTACAGTAATAAGCATAGTACAGACAATAAAGAGTAATGATTCTTGCTTTGAAATATAAAGCATTGTTCAATGCCTTAACTTTTGCATTTAATCATTTTTGTAAGGCTTATGTGCTTTATTTTCATTGTAAGATATCTTGAACATTTCTCAGAAAAATATCATTGTTTTAGCTAATTATTTCATTACATTTATAGCCACCTTTTGTCCTTTTGCAAGGAACCCATGGTGGTTTACATGATCCTTCTCCTCAAAAGAACCCTGTGAGGTAGGTTGGGCGGAACACCAGTGACTAGCCCAAAATCAGCTAGTGAACTTCAAAGACAAGTGGAGTCTAGAAACTGGGTTTTCCTGAGTCCAGTCCAACACTTTAACCACTGCACCACATTGGCTCCTATAATAATGGCAGCACAAGGAGCCCAGAAACAAAGCATCAACATGCAACTGTGTGAGGAGAAGGTAAACTGCTCTTATATCTGTATTACTCCAGGTAATCATCTCAAGCTCATAGATTATCAGCTCAAGAAAAAAAGGACAGCAAAATCACAGAAGGGTAAACTTTTACAGACATATACTTCAGAGTTAAATCTTTGGTGAGGGGGAAATCTTACAGGAACTTACAGTTCCTGCAGCCTTGCTCAAGGAGAGTCTGTACTTAAAATAAACACAGGCTTAGGGGGGGAAAAAGTATACTAACATGTCCTTGGAAGCTAAAGTCCAGGGTGGAATTCAGTAGGAATTTATACCTCTTGTAGAAAAGCCCAGAGAGTTCATCTATAAACTAAACCTAGCCTTAAAAAGGGGAAAGAAAAGCAATACATAACTCTATACTGACAAGAGTCACTGTGCAGGTCTAGCTAGTGGAAGAGATTGGTTATAATCATAAAGCAAAGGATAGTTTCATTTTGGGCTCAGTGTAGGCTCAGGTTTTAAAGCTATACAAAAGCTCATAAACTAGATCTCAGCAATACAGTAATCCTGAGGTTAAAACTAAGTGATAACCTGGTTCTCAAACAATCCACACAAAGGAACTCAGCATGCCAAATCATATTCCTTCACAGATCACTTTCCATTTGTCTATTGTAGTCTCAACAATTCATTGACCATAGTGCTTTTCACCAAAAAGATTATCTCCATTAGAGTGGGAACACACTGAAGCTAGGGCAGACTTTGGGGAGGCAGGATCTTGTGGCTATGGAAGATCTGACACACAGCGAGCTAGGCTTGTGATGGGACTGTAGTCTGCATGATACATTGCCTGCCTGCTATGAAACCTGTGGATATCACACCCAGTTTGGGTCTTATAGATAGTGCTAGTGTAGAGTCAGTGGTTGTGGTCCATCGAGGTACCAATGATGTGAGGAAATGCAGTTTTGAGGTCCTGGAAGCAAAATTTGGCTTGCTAGGTAGAAAGTTGAAATCCAGGTCCATCAAGCTGGCTTGCTCTGGAATGCTACCCATTCCACATGCAGGGCCAGCTAGACAGACAGAGCCAAGGAATCTCCATGTGTGGATGAGATGCTGTAGAGAGAGGAAGGGTTCAGATTTGTTAGGCACTGGGGAACATTTTGGGATGAGCCAGGCCCTGTACAAGTGGATGGGCTTCACCTGAACCAAAATGGAAGCAGGCCACTAGCACGAGATCTTAAAAAAAGGTAGCAGAGCTGGTTTTAAACTGAATCCTGGGGAACCATGGACAGGAGTTGGAAAGCATCTGGTTCAACTTAAATCATCCCTAGGGGATGAAGATGGAAAAACTCCTGATAGTCCAAATGTAGGAGGGAAGAAATAAGCCATGAGCATACGGTGAGACATGATAGCACATCAGAGAGGCCTAGATGCCAAAACGGAAGTTACACATATCCAGAGGGCAACACTGTGTTTAGGTGTTCCTATACAAATTTTAGCTACCGTGGAGCCAAAATAGGGAGCTTGAGTGCCTGGTTTTAAAAGGGGAAGCAAGATAGAGTGGGCATTATATAAACTTGGTGCATTATATAAACCTGGAGAACCAACGGGATGCAGTCATCTCTAGATATAAACTGTATAGGAGGGAGATGCAAGAGTGCATTAGAGATGTTGCTCTCTTTGTCAGAGAGCATAAAAGCCAGCTGACTTCATAATCTAAAAGGTACAAACTCCTCCACAGAAACATGGTGAGTAATAATACCTGTCTTTAAAACTAATTTAGTCTTAGGAATATGCTCTCATCCCCTAAACCAGAATGCTCAGGGTAATCTTGAGAATGAAATCAGGAAGACCTAGAAAAAACAGTGTTCTAATAGATGGCTTCAACTATCCCCACCTCAACTGGATAAATGTATGTACCAGTTATAAAAAAGAGGTCAGTCTTACTGTGTTCTAGACCAGTTGGTCAGGGAACCAACCAGAGAAGGGGACAGGGAGACCCTGAATTTAATCCTAAATTACATTCCCACAGCTTAATATGAGATATAAATGATGTTGAACTGGTTGAAAGCAGTGACTTCAGCACTATCCTATGTAATACACATTGAACTGAAAGACTGCTGAAGAAGTCCAATGCAGTCTTATAGTACTCCAAAGAGGAAGCTAAAATGAGGGAAGTTGTGAAAAAGAAGTTAAAGGGAGAAGTCAAGAAGCTAAAAGCCCTTCAGAATGCTTGGATATTATTCAAAACTCCAACAATAGAAGCTCAGATAGTACGTATAGCACAGGTAAGGAAAGGTATCACAAGGTCTACCTGGTTAACAAGCAATGTTGAGGAAGCTGTTAGTGAGAAGAAGGAGTCTTTCAGAAAATGGAAGTCTTGCCCAGTTAGGAAAACAAAAGGGAGCATAAGGTTGCACAAGGGAGGTGCAAACAGACAGTAAGAAATAAAAAAGAAAAATATTTTAAGGACTGTATCACTAATAACATCAAGGCCAACAATAAATAATTATTTAAATATATAAATTATTTAAATATATAAGCACTCTTGGATGAAACTGATTATCTGGACCCATTTCAGTCTGGCTTCAGACCGGGGTATGGTACTGAATCTGCCTTGGTCACCCTGTATGATGACCTGTGCAGGGAGAGAGACAGGGGGAGTGCGTCCCTGTTGGTTCTCCTGGACCTCTCAGTGGCTTTCGATACCATTGACTATGGTATCCTTCTGGATAGGCTAGTAGGATTGGGAGTTGGAGGCACCGCTTTGCGGTGGTTCCGCTCCTATCTCAATGGCCGATTCCAGAAGGTGGTGCTGGGGGACTATGACTCTGCGCCATGGCAGCTATGCCATGGAGTTCCGTAGGGGTCCATTTTGTCCCCCTTGCTTCTACATGAAACCACTGGGAGAGGTCATCAGGAGGTGTGGGCTGCAGAATCATCAGTATGCTGATGATACCCAGCTCTACCTCTCTTTCTCAACCAATCCAGGTGAGGCAGTGGCTGTACTGAACCAGTGCCTGGCCGAGGTAATGGGCTGGATGAAGGCCAATAAACTGAAGCTCAATCCAGACAAGATGGAGGTCCTGTTGGTCGGTGGATCAGGCTTTGGGATGGGGGACCTAGACCTTGTCCTGAATGGGATTGTACTCCCTCTTAGGGACAGGGGGCGCAGCTTGGGAGTGCTCCTCGACCCAGAGCTATCGTTGGAAGCTCAAGTAACAGCGGTAGCAAGGAGCGCTTTCCTTCAGCTTAGGCTGATCCATCAGCTGCGTCCCTACCTGGAGAACGATTGCCTGGTGACAGTGACACATGCACTGGTAACTTCCCGATTAGACTTCTGTAACGCGCTCTGCGTGGGGCTACCCTTGAAGACGGTCCGGGTACTTCAATTGGTGCAAAACAGAGCTGCCAGGTAGCTGACAGGAATTGGGCATTGTTCTCATATAACCCCAGTCCTCTGTCAGCTTCACTGGCTTCTCATTGAAGTCCGGCCCCAATTCAAGGTGTTGGTTATCACCTATAAAGCCCTCAACGGCTTGGGACCTGGTTATCTAAAGGAGCGCTTGCGTCCATATATGCCCTCCCGCCCCTTGAGATCGGCAGCAGAGGCCCTTCTCCAGGAACCCTTTGTGAAAGATATGAGGGTGAGTACCCGGAGGAGGGCCTTCTCTGCAGTGGCACCCCACCTATGGAATGCGCTCCCCAGAGAAGTCCCCCTGGCGCCATTGTTATTTGTTTTTCGGTGCCAGGACAAGACCTTTTTATTTAAAAGTTATTTTATTTGTTAATTTATTGATTGTATTTATTGGGTTTTTATATACGTGCCGAGATGTTTCCGGATTTTTAAGGCTAATTATATAATTGTTTGTTTATGTTGTAAGCCGCCCCGAGGCTTTTTGCGAATGGGGCAGCATAGAAATGGTTTAAATAAATAAATAAATGAAGAAAGAAAGCAGCCAGGGACAGTTAGAATTAAAATAGCATGAAGAAGTATCAGGAAATAGCAGAGAAGTTAAATTAATGGTTTATATATGTTTCACAACAGAGGATACTGGACAGGTACTTATCGTATTTTTCGCTCTATAAGCGCACTTTTTTTCTGCACATTTTTTTTTAGGATCAGTGGATATTTGAACAGCATTACCTTCATGTATGAAGTTTATTCTTCAAAGGCTACTTAGTCCGCTGTGTGTTTGATTTACCGTACAATATCTCATTTTTTGTCAGAAGTTTTTTTCTATTATTTACTAGTAGGGCAGCATGGACATTACTGGCTTTTTTAGATTTGTTATAGAATTGTCTGCAACAGCTCTTGTATAAATGGTGTAGATTGTGGATTCCTTCAATAATTCCACTACTGACTAAGAAAGTGATGTCAGTGATTGTGAGCAACAGAGCTTAATAAATTCTGACCCTAGTGATGATGAGTTCTATGGGTTCAACGAAAACTAGAAGAGTACTCGAACTTTAAAGTCTCTCTTTTGTTAATGACAGTGAAGATGGTTCTTAATGCCACTGTTGACTGCTGTTCACTTTACAAGGTTGAAATACGGTATTACTGTATTCTGTTATAGTTTATTAAATAGTTTAGGAAACCATTTGATTCAGAATATTTTTTTGCTTGTTTTCCTCCTCTAAAAACTAGGTGCGTCTTATGGTCAGGTGCGTCTTATAGAGCGAAAAATACAGTAATCTTGAACTTATATATTCAGCAAAGTACTCTGGGGAATTAAGGCACATAGTGGTGACAAAATATAAGATTCTTAAAAATATAAGATTCTTAAAGTTATTGACAAACTGCAAGTTAATAAATCATTGGACCAGAAGGTGTCCATCCTGGAGTTTATATTTTATATTTGGAGGGCCCAAATATAAAATCACCAAAATAGGTAACATGTCCCTAAGATCAGCCTTTGTAGCAGAATATTAGGGAATGACCATTGAAAAAGAGAGATCTGGGGTATCTGGAAATTACAGGCTGGCTAGCTTAATATCTGTTCTGAAATTGGCTGAAAGTATTATTAAAGATCGAACCGGTAGGTAGACAGAAATACAAGCCCTGCTGAAAAAGAATCAACATTGTTTCCACAAAATCTTGTCACTCCTGTTAGAGTTCTCTCAATCAACATGTGAATAGGAGCAATCCAGTTCATATTACTGGGACTTCAGACGGACTTTTAACAAAGAACCTCACTAAGAGCAAACTTAGCAGTCATGAAAAAAGAGGGTGTCCTCTTATGATCAGTAAAAAACAGAAAGGCAGGTGAGAATAAATGGTAATTTCTCTCAGTAGAGGGATGTAAACAGTAGAGTCTCATTGGGTTCTGTATCAGCAGCAATGCTTTTTATCCTATTCAAAAATGATTAGGAGTAGGCAGTGAAGTAGCCCAGTTTGTGGCTAACTCCAAATTATTTAGGATGGTTAAAACCAAAAGGGACTGCGAGAAGCTCCAAAAGGATCTTTCCAAGTTAGGGGAATGAGCATCAAAACGGCAAACGTTTAGTCTAAACAAGTGTAAACTCATGCATGTTGTAGGAACCCCCCCCCCCGCCCCAATTTAAAGTGTAAGATGGTGGGAACCATGTTAGCAGTGACTGATCAAGAAAGAGATCTTGAAGTTGTGGTGGACAGTCTGATGAAAATGTCATCTCAGTGTGCAGCTGCTGTGAAAAAGGCAAACCCCAGGTTAGGCATAATTAGGAAAGGCATTGGTAATTAAATTGTTTCATAATTCCTTTTTATAAAATGTTGGTGTGACCACACTTAGAATATTGTGAGCAGTTCTGGTCACTCCTCATGAAAAAGAGCACTATTCAGCTGGAAAATGTGCAGAGAAGGGAAACTAAAATGATCAAGGGACTGGAGTAAACTCCCTTATAAGGAAGAGCTGAGATTGTTTTGCCTGAAAGACAAGTGACAATAGGGGGAAATGACAGAAGTATTAAAAATTGTGTATGGTATAGAGGAAGTGCCTAGGGACATCTTTCTCCCTCTGCCATAAGGTGATCATATGAAGCTGAGTGGTGGGAGTTTCAAGTCAGATAAAAAGCACACCACACATAGATGAACTATGGAATTCACTGTCACAAGAAGTAGTAATGGCCACCAATTTGGTCAGCTTTAAAATAGGATTGGACACATTCAATCTAGTTCGGATGGCTATAACATTAGACAATGTGTGCCACTATACACCAGCTAGTTAGGCTCATACTTGTGGGGTGCTTTGGGCAGCTGGTTTACCACCATGTGAATAATATAGCTGGACCTGATGGGCTTAGTCTGGTTCAGCAGGGCTTTTCTTATGGTCGTAACAGTAGGAACTAAATCAACTCTGACTGCTTCCTTCTTTGATACTGTGCAGAGCTTACTAAAATGCTAAGGGCTTTCCAGATAGTCAGGATACAGTCCGATAAATACATGTTTCAGTTCACGTACTACAATGGATCCTCTTAATTATTGCAGAACTTTGGACCACTTCATTGTTTATGTGGAAAATATAATCCTTTCCTAGCCCATACATGCATTCTGTATTCGGTGTGGAATGAGACGCCATGAATGCCGTAAGCATCTACTAGGCTGTGCTCAAGGCATCACTTGCAGTCACCCCAATGTCCTATCCTTCAGGGAAGAAGACTTAAAAACTCTTTTCAAAGTTTGCTCACCATTATATAGAAAGCAAAGTCAACTATTTACCAGGGAGAATTTATTCTAAAGGGAAACCGTTGGAGCGCACGCAAACAAAAATCCTTTACAGACTACGAACGCCATCCAACCTGGCCTGCTCTCCAACTCCACAACCAAAGGCTAGAGGAGTCCCCAGGGCTGCGGGCTGGTCCTGGAGCTGTGTAAAATCCACCCGGCAGTTGCCTAGACACCTATGCATAGAGTGTTCTCTTTCTATGAAGCGGTTGTGTGCCGTCAAGTCGTTTCCGGCTTCTTTATTTCATTTTATACGGCCCAATTGCCGAGGCTCTCTTACGCCGACCCCATGAAAGAAATTCCTCCAAACAGTTCTCCCAAATTCAAGGACAAGGTTTCCTTCAGGGAGTCCATCGGTATCATATTTGGCCTTTTGTTTTCCGCCTCTGCCGCTTGCCTTCGCATAACGTATCCAAAGCAAAACCGCCTCAGTTTTGCCATTGTTGCTTCTCGCAAAAGTTCTGGTTTGATTTCAATGTTACGAGGCACGTATAACATACACCTCGCGATCTTAAATAAACCACCTGCTCTGAAAGAGACACACGGATGACTTTTGCGCCTCACAGTGGCGGAATCTCGCGGAAGCCCACTGACCAGCGGCGCCGAAAAAAAGGCACGCTTACATTTCCGACAGGCGACTTGGTTAGCCGACTATCCACAAGCACGTGAGGAGCGGAGGGGTCCTCGCGGCACTAAATAAGCGGACCAGGCCCCGCCTCTTCCTTTCACCATCTGCTCGTGGAAAGTGTGAGGTGAGCGCGGGCTTATTTGGGCCTGGCCCGGTGGGCTGCCTATTTCTCCTCATCCCGCTCCTTTCCTTCGCGGGGCTGGTACCAGGGGCTGGAAAGTATCGCGCGGGGGGGGGGCGTGCGAAGATAATTCGCGGGTTTTCTTCTGGGGGGGCCTGTTCACGTTCGGCACTCGCCATTAATGGATCTTGGTCTTGTTTCAGCGACCCCGGGCGGGAGCGTCACCGCCGACCATGGCCGAGGAAGGGTAAGTTTGTGTGAGGCGACGGGAGCGGCCTGCCAGAGGTGTGAACCCCCTTAGGGCGATCCTCTTCCGCCTTGCTTGCCCGCCGTGCACGGGCCTGTGCGCGGGAGCGCGCAGCGTAGCTCTGACTTGCTACACGTGGCCGGGCCTATCAGCATGCCCTCTCTTGCCCCTTTGAGCAGTTTTCAAATGCTACCAGAGGTAAAGCTCAGCAAGACCTTGTCCCTTGGCTCGTTTTAACAGGCTAAGCGTGCATTCCTAGCTGGAGTATCCTGGAAATTGTGGGAATCACCTCTTTTCTAAACGGTCTTAGGGTTGAATCGCAGTAAAGTTAGATGAAAGTATGTTCCAGAAGATGCATAGGTCTGCACCTTTCTGTTATCATTTTCACAGCTTCAATATCAAGCTGATAGGTTAGTATTGCTGATCCTGGCCTTAAGGGCCTGCTACCTCAGATAAGGCAAGTTAACTCATGAACGGAAAGTTCCCTTACCCTGCTGTATTTTTCTCCCCCAAGCATCTAGCTCTTTGTAGATGTAGAGCATCTAGCTCTTGGTGCCTGTAGAATCAATGGGTTTTCCTAGACGGTGGGAGAGTGGAAGAAGCAGCATTACTAAACTTGGTAGTTGAAGTAAAGTTTTCACCAGATTGCTTGTCTTGGCAAATATCAGAAAAGTAGCTATCTTGTATTAACATCAGAGTTCTCTGGTACAGGTGTTTATTTTAGGATTATCTTTTTAATGCTTTTTAAAAAAATGTTCTTTTAAATTGTTGTAAGTCATCCTGAGATATTTATCTAAAGAATGACATACAAAGGTTTTTAATAAATAATAAATTAGTATCTGGGTTAGTACACTTTTCTTAAGATGTCAGCCCTCAGCTGGCATATGTGGAAAACATCTAAGCAGAGGAGATAGGATGTCTTGATGTGAAAGGAGTTAACATTGGATCTGTGATACTTTTATGCAAACATTGACAATTGAGTATTTAAAAGTTGCTATAGCAGATGTGGCTGTTTTGAATATGTTGTTCTTCTGCCTAATCAGTATTTGCTGCTACTCTTTGTATTTCATGGCTATTTGGCCACATTTTAGTGCTTTTTGTATAAGTAAATGCTGATTGAGTATAATAACTCATACCTTGTTGAACTGTGTTCTGGACAACAAAAGTTGATGCTGTAATCTGTCATCTTCCAGACGTTAGGAAACTACTTGTTAGATATTTCAAGGTACTCTTGCAGTCCATATGTTGCTTTCTGTCTGTAGAACTTTGAAAGGCTCAGGGCAGGCAGGAGTAGCTGCTTTATAACAATAGTAATGTAGGGAATTCACTGTTGCAAGTGATAACTATTTATCAAGATTTAATGGAGAAAATACCCATTTGTTAGGTGTAGCAGCTGCATTGAAACCATGTTTGGGTGCACATCTGATACCAAATGGTATATGTATAGATGCCTTACTGGCTAAATTGTTCAAATGTATTATTTTTAGCAAAATGAGTTAGATAAACCTTTGCGTTATCCAGCAAGATAATTCTGTTTATGGTTTCTTTAAAACAGCATTGCTGCTGGAGGTGTAATGGATGTTAACACCGCCCTTCAAGAAGTGCTCAAGACCGCACTTATCCATGATGGCTTAGCCCGTGGAATTCGTGAAGCTGCCAAAGCCTTAGACAAGTAAGTATTGGAAGTTACTGGTACGAGTGCCTCCAGATCAAAGCTAGGCTTTGTAAAAGCCTGTTGCTTTGATTTCCTTATGACATTCTTGATGTATTTTGCTAGATGTGCAGTTGAGGAGGCAGGCTAATTGTTCTTAAAATTACAGATGTGCTACATCTGAGGGTATGTTAAAAGACTTTTGCTGTCTTTTCACTATGTGAGGTGAAATTAGGAGTAGGACTTGGCTTTTCCCTATTCTGTGCAAACAGTGTTCAGTTTGTCCAACAATAATCTAATTAAGATAGTGTTTAGTGAAGTGGGAAGAATTTGTACAAGTTAGGGGTATAGAAATATTGTCTAAGTAGATGACATCATGGTACTCATCATGGTATTCTTTCATTTGCTATGTGAATGTCAGACACTTCTGGAATTAATGTATTTGATCAGGTTAGTATGTTTCCACTGTCAACTCTTGTTAAGAGTGTAGTCTTAAGACAATTCCCCTTTTTTGATACACTTGATTTATTCTTTATGAGTAGGATCCAGATTTGGCTCAGTAGAATTTTGCTGGCATTTGGGGTAAGGTGACCTTTTTATTCCCCTCAAACCCCCATGTGCCTCCCCTCAGTCCAGGGTATTCTCCAGGACAACACACCTGTTGCAGGGGGAAGGGGAGACAAAGGAAAACAGTGCATAATTCTGATCCAACCCATATTTGAAATAAAGTGAATGATGAAGTGGTAAGTTGTAAATACCAGTGAGTTACTCAGGCTGATGAAATTCTAAGCATACAACATAATTGTAAAATGATTACCGGATTGGACAATTGAGCTGCCGCATAGTGAGATACTGAGATGAGAACTACAGAGTTTGAGTGATGACTATACCAAAAAAAAGTCGGATACCCCTTCACTCTTATTATGAGTGAAAATAATAGTCTGACAAACCTGTATCAAATTCTTGATGAGAATGCAGGAGCCAAGGATAGTATGGTAAGATAAGCACATTGTACTGGTTGCACACTTGTAAATGCTTGTGCTAAATTGGCCCAGGTTATTTCTTTCTTAGCAGAATTCTGGGTTCAGAATCAAGTAGAACAATTAAAGAATGAGACTTTTCCTGAGTTGTTTAATGAAGTTTGCAAGCAACTGGGACCCAGCACTATTGCTTACTCCCACATGCTCCGGAGTTGCTTAATGGCATGAACTGGACCAATGTTAATACTTAATTTCATGGTTCCAAACTTCCTGTCCATGAATGAAAGAAGAATACTGTTCACGGAATAGCACCAGCCTTCCTTGCCAAATCTGTTTCTGTGGGTTAGAGGATCGTTGGGAGAAGTTGCAGGATCTGTGGACATTGGTAGTAGTGAATGGAAATGGTCCTTGCATGAGTAGAAGAGCCACTTGGGATCCAAATCACTGCATTGAGATGAAATGCTGAGGAAATTGGTTTGCTTGTGTAAGTGAGACGATTTTCTTTGATTATGGTATTTTAGACGCCAAGCCCACCTCTGTGTTCTCGCATCCAATTGTGACGAACCCATGTACGTCAAGCTGGTCGAAGCACTTTGTGCTGAACATCAGATCAACTTGATAAAGGTAATGATTGTATTCTACCTTAGCTTCAATAAAGCAAGGCCAGAGAAGTTGCTGGCTCACATTCTTGCAGCTGAAGAGAGGCTGAAGAGAGTGAGTGCTTTATGTTAGTACTGTCTATGCTGTACTGTGATGATAACTTGGCTCCCTCTACTGACACTGGTGAGGAAAGCAACCAAAAACGTTACCCTATATTTCTGAGTGTACAGCTAGGTATGTTTCTGTCCTTTACTGTCTTGTAAAGTGCACATCTAATGGAATGCAAATGTCTTTGGCAGGTTGATGATAACAAGAAGCTGGGTGAGTGGATAGGTCTCTGCAAGATTGACAGAGAAGGAAAACCACGCAAAGTTGTGGGCTGCAGTTGTGTGGTTGTAAAGGTAAAATGACAAATCTTCTGGTTAAAAATTTGTAATGAACTTGCAGCAGTGGCATTCCTGGTCTAACATTGCCTTCAGATGTCCATTTGATTGTGTTGAATCAGACAGACATTTGTTTAATGTCTGAATAATTATCACCTAGGAAGCCAAATGCATAACTGCTTTGTTAGCAAGTTAGGAAGAAAGATGAAAGTGTTTGGGGTTATGAATATGGGTTACATTAACTGTTGTGCTAGTATTTCAGGACTTCTTCACTAATACAGCTCTGTGTACTCATAAAACTACTTGAGGCACAGTTCTGATCAGTAGAAGTATGGAAATAGCTTTTAAAATAGGGAAGAAAATCAGTTGGCACAACACTTCGTACACTGAACAGCTGCCAGTATGATAAAATCTGCTTAACTTGTACATGTTTTGCAGATTTTTTTTTAATTGCTGGCAATAATAAAGCCAGGGTACGAGCCTTGAAGACTTAGTCGTCATTGAGGTCCCAGTAAATGGCTACATTGGTTTTATTTGAAATGTCTCCCCTCAAAATGGGTCTGATTTTGAAAATGTAAAGGTGCCAAATTTCTAGTGGCAAATAGTTTGCACTTTTTATCTAATTACAATTTCCAGAGAAATATTTATATTAATCTGTGGCAGAGTCTTGCAACACCTTACAAGGAAACAAATCTGCTATGCCCATAGTGTGTTACCGTGCCACAAAATTCTGGCACATTAATCTAAATAGTATTCATTTTGTAATTCAGCAATTCTAAATTAGTAATTTATGTTACACTTAAGTCAGATCAGTAAACTGATTTTCTGTTCACAAAGTAGTGTGATATTAATATATTGTCTTATTGTAGGACTATGGCAAAGAATCACAGGCCAAAGATGTCATCGAAGAATACTTCAAGTGCAAGAAATGAACTAATAAAGTATATTTGAGCCTGACATTGTTTTGTGTTTGGTTTGAGGTAAATCTTGGAATATTTTATGGACAGGTTGTCTCTTAACATCCATTAGATTCCATGGTTTAGGCTTCAGAATATTTCTAGAATTCTTGTTTTCATTTACCTTTAGTTTTTTAAAGTTTCTACACAAAATCAGATTCTTAAACAATTGAGGAGCAATAGTCTGAATTTCACATTTCACAAGCTTCCCCAGACTGATTAGTCAATGTTATTAATTTTTATACACTCCCAACAGCCAAAGCTCTCTTACTCAAGGATGTTACAAGACTTGTAAGACACCAAGTTGGGGAAGTCTGTATTGATACAGCTTCATTCTTGGCTTTAAATATGTAGAAACTACTTATTCCAAGAGATGACATTGGGATTTGGAGACAGCGGTTTGAGTTTAGAAATGTTTAGTGTCTACCCAAAATTTGGAAGGGCAGGAACTGCTAAGAAATATTCTCCAGAACCATTTTTTTCTGAAAATTCTGTTGTGGACTGGTCTAGTAATAACTCTGTCAAGGGATTCTGAGCTTGTTAGATTATCATAAATTGAAAATCCAAACATTTTTTAAAGAATGCTTCTGAGTGCCCATAGTTAAAGCACTTCTTTGCCATAAATGGAATTGGGAGTATTGTATGTGTCCCACTTTGGATAGTTGACAAGGTTCTGTGACAAAGGTGCAAATTGAGGATCTTTATGCAGGCTTCAGCTTGCATCAGATTGCATACAATTTTGTCTCTTTGCTTGAAGAGAAGATGCTCCTGAGACAACTGGATGTCTTGTGTACTCATTAGTATTAGTCTTACTAATGGTACTTGTTTCCAGTGTAAGATGCCATAGGTAAAACTGCAAAGATAAATCTGAAATTGGTAATAAAAGTGGCAAGATCCTTTTGACCTGACACTCCATATGGAAGATCCACATGTTACTCTCATCTTCCTTAGCCTGGTCTCTTCCGGTTGCCGTAAGTCAGAGACAACTTGATGGCACATAAAATATCCAGGGTTTTTTTTTACATCACCCGCTGATGTTTGTGCTTGCTTAATACATGATAGCTGTTGAGAATTGTTTGTAAATGTAGATTTGGCTTTAATACTGTAGGGTATCTTTTGAAGGTTACGTGCTTGAAAACCACGGATAGATCAGGGATGACTACATTATCACAATCATTATGTGGGATTGGCCTATGTATTAGTATGGGAGGTAATGAAACGGCATCCCAGCAAGGAAATTTATAATGTGACAATTAGGGAACAAACACATTTGTACTAGTTGGGCTTTGATGAGGCAGCAGTTAACCTTCGGAAATATTCAAGGGGCACTGCAAACGTTATGGGAAAAATCATTTCCTATATATTTCAAGTATGGAAAATGTGAAAGCTTAATGATTGTATAAACAACAAGGAAGGCCCTCATGAATTGCTAACTGGTTAAAATAGGAATAAAGAGTACAATCTCCCCAAATCCCAATTGGTTTCCTCAGGGATTTAAAAGGAATTATGATGCACCCCAAAGGGATCTCCAAGCTGGGAGAAAAGACATCAAAATGCCAATGCAAATGAAAAGTGATGCATGATAGGACAAAAAATCCTAACTGCCAAGTGTAAACTGATGGGATTTGAGCTAGTGTTGACCAAGACGGGTTGTAGCAGACAGCTTGATGAAAACTGACTCAGTATGTGCTGTGAAAAAGGCAAGCGTCATGTTAGGCATAATTAAGAAACTGAAAGCTGCCAGTATTTCACTGCTCTTATACAAATGTATGCTGAAACTTTATTTGGAATATTGTGCCCCATTCTGGTTCCTGCACCCAGAAAAAAGATACTGTAGAGTTTGAAAACCTGCAGAAAGGGCGACTAAAGGGCGATCCAGCAATTGGAACAACTCCCCTTTGAGGGATGATTGGATTGCTTAGCTTACATGAAAAACGGTAAAGTAAGACATGATGGAGAAAATGGCTAGTACTGCCTCACAATAAAAGTACCCAGGGTCATTCTGTGAAGCTGATCGGTGGACAGTTCAGATAAAGTACTACACCACAGTGCAGAAACTGGAATTTGCTTCCTTGAGGTGTAGGGATGGACATTGGAATGGTTTTAAGAGTCTGGAGGATATGGCTATTTGTCCTGATTGCTTCCCAGCCTTTTGACTAAGATCAAGTATATAGTCCTGATGTCTACATGCTGCCTCCATTATCGCAGTATGTTTGTGTGCACCAGTTGCTGGGGAACTTGGGCTAGAGGGTGCTGTGGCGCTTGCATCATGTTTGTGGGATTCTTGAGCAGGTGGCTGGCAACTCTGCGAAGAGACTGCAGGACTGGATGGAGCCTTAGTCCAAGCCAGTATGACTCCTATCATTGCAAATGATGTCAAAGCACAATGAACAGTATCTGAGTGTATAGGAACATATATAAAAATGAATTAGGTGAGGTACTGATCTGCCTTACAGTATGTTAGTGGATATATACAAGTAGTGCCAAATTCTAAGGCGCTACCGATGTGAGAATGCAATTCTATGCAAGTTTACTCGGAAGTATGTCCTGTGTTTATTGGTGCTTATTTCTCAGGTTGCAGGTGTCGCTTGTAAGGTACCACAAATGTGTTGGTTTAAAAATTTTAAATCTGCCTTTCTGCATGTGCTGCCCTGACAAGCCACCTTACAATACTACAAAACCATGAGCAAACAAAATTGTGCTAGCAGCCAATGCAGTTTAAGCACTGAATGCAGACTGGAATAAATGCGTTAAAGCCAGCAGTGTTTATTCCTTATATATCGGGGGAGATGATAAATTCATTATGTAAGCATTTTATCATATGCATGAGATATAAGCACCCAGAGAATAAAAATGTAGATATGAAAGCTGAAAGGCCAAGTAATGCAAGAAAGTGGCAGTATCCTTTTACTATGCAGGGCATGAGCTAGTACTTCACTTGTACTTTAGACTTGCATCGATGCATAAAATGGCTCACTCCTATATGTAGCATGTGCTTCATATTAATGGCTTGCCTTCAAAAATGAAAAGCAGATGCTACATGCTTGGGGTTTGTGCTCATTGCCCCAGTTTGTGCTGTGTGCTGTGAGCATGTCTTTGAATATCTGTATCTTAGGATTTTCTTTAGCATGCAAAATTAGGAGATTATGGGGTGCTCCGAGTGCTTGATATCACTTTACTCTATAAAGGTTTACAGCAGCAATATGGGTCACCAGAAAGATTTTAATACTTCTGTCCAAGCTCACTTTCAACGTGGCTTATTGCATGCCATTTTAAAACTGGGTGAGTAAATTTCATTCTTTATGCAAATTCTAGTGAAATAGGAATTCATACTTTCAGTGTTCCATGAAAGCTGAATATTTATGTGATGGACTTAAAAACCTATTACCATGCAGACAGATCCTCTGATTTCCCATGAAATTTGCCAATATAATACGCTGATAGGTTTTGCAGTTGTTCCAGTGGCAGTGGATCAGGGACTGTCGGCAAGAAATGAGTAGACTGGGCAAGCGCTTGGTAGCTCATTCCAGCCATTCCTTTCAGGAGCATTAGCTATACTATATTCTTGCCAATGAAGGAATATACAATCTGGCAATAAACGTGTGTAGTCAAAATACTTGGCGTATTAGGTTGTCTTGACTTGCTGATTACCAAATGGTTGTCCATTTGCTGGGCTTCTTCAAATATGACATATGTACAGGTATTGATTAAATTAAATGAGCTGGGACTTGAGGACCAAGTCTGCAGATGACATCAAATTATGCAGGTTGATGAAACTCAGGCAAGAGTACAGAGACTCCAGAAGCATCACTGTGAACTAGATGAATGGGCAATGAAATAGTCAATTAAGATGAGATTCCGTGTATGATAGCTTTGCAAATAATACAGACAGCAAAACTGTTGTAGCTTCTGCATCCTAAAGTAACACAGACTCACTTCTATCAATTTCCAAAGACAGCTAAAAGGTGGTGCTGATTTTAAACTTGCACATTTTCTAACAGATTTTCTTGTGTTTATTTGCTACCTGTAGGCACATAATATACAACCATGTGTCCTGCAAAAGGCCATTCAACAGTACAGTGTGTGTGCAGTTTTTACCAGTCCATAGCAACCTTATTTCAATTCCTTCAACATGTGCCAAGTCTGCAAGTACCTGCTTGTTTCAGCATATGCCCAAATATGCACAGGTTACATTGACCCGCTTTCAAGAAAATGGCTGGAGCAAGCGAGGCCTGTTTCCAATATCCCTTGTTGCCAGTCAGGGTCCAAGTGTGGGCAAAAGGAAAGGTTTGCTGTGCTGAAGCCCTCTGATTCACATGTCCTGGCCCAGCTGCAAGTTCATTGTCAGGAGATAGAAATTTCAGGATAATGTAGGAACAGCTAAATTTATTTCTGGTCTGTCCACTTTGTGCATGTTCATTTTCGTAAGTTCATTCTGTACTGTTCTGACATGTTTAAAAAGCTGCATGAAGTGTACCTTTCCCACAAAATGTACACTTTTATACGAATTTTTGTACATTTTTTGAATAAAGAACTCATATAAAATTCTGAGAGAAATGACATCTTGTGTTATGTCCTACATATTACTCTGAGAAGTGAAAGCAGGTAGGTCTGGTTAAAAAATGTCAACCGAAGGAATTGCTCGAGCAATTGCTGATCACGCATATTTTTCAGTATATGCATTTTTCCAGAGTACTTGAGCCAGTCAGAAGCAGTGCTAGAACAGAGCAAGCCATACTCTGAACAGCTGAGAGTAGGCCTGCTACCTTGGTTTCGCACTTTGAAAGGCAAAGGCTTGTGCTTCGCCGTGTGATACGCGCTTGTAAGAACCTGCTTCAGCATTCCTTGTACATAGGAAAGAGAAACGGACATCTGGATGCAGGGACAAAATTCCATAATCACCTGGGAGAATTTGCAGGCCCACAAGGTATGTGCCTAAGGGCACAATTCTGTGGCCTCCATGCTCAGTCTCCAGACTCAGAGGCTTATGTGCATCCAGTA